TCACCTCATTCTTTCTAAAGCTCGGCTGCACGAAGGCAGGCCGGTCATAAAACAGCCGCTCCACCGTGTGTTGGTGTGAGGAGAGAGCAAAGAAGAGGCTGGTTCTTCAGCAGGTCAACTACCCGCCACCTCTACCCTTTACTTCCTCAATCTCCTCACTCACCTCGTTCTTTCTGAAGCTCGGCTGCACGAAAGCAGGTCTGTCTTGGAACAGTTGTTCCAGGTCGTGCTGGTGCGAGGAGACAGCGAAGAAGAGGCTATTTGTTCACCAGGTCACCCCCCCTCCCCCCTTGAGACGCTGCTCACAAGCAGCACTCACCTCGTTCTTTCTGAAGCTCGGCTGCACGAAATCAGGTCTTTCTTGGAAAATCTTCTCCAGGTCATGCTGGTGCGAGGAGAGCGCAAAGAAGAGGTTGTCCTCGCTGCGGTGCTCGCAGGGCGTTAAGTGCGTGGGACAGGTGGTGCCTTCTACCAACTCCTTCTCGTCCTGGTGAGGAGGGGTGTTGGCAGCATGTGGAAGCAGAGGGGGGAGAAAAGGGGAGAGGGTTCAAAGGAAGAAGAGGTTGTCCTCGCTGCGGTGCTCGCAGGGCGTGAGGTGCGTGGGGCCATGGTGCCTTCTACCAACTCCTCTTCGTCCTGGTGGGAAATTAGTTGGGAGCATGTGCAAGCAGAGAAGGAAGGAAGAGGCAGCGCAAAGAAGAGGTTGTACTCGCTGCGGTGCTCACAGGGAGTGAGGTGCATGGGACAGGTGGTGCCTTCTACCAACTCCTTCTCGTCCTGATAGGGAGGGGTGTTGGCATCACGTGGAATCAGAGGAGGGAAGGAAGGAGAGAGAGGATAAGAGGGGGTTGACGAAAAGCTGGCCTTACTGCGGTGCTCACAGGAGGTCAGATGCGTGGGACACGTGGTGCCATCCCCTAGCTCCTCGTCCTGGTGAGGAGGCATTTGGAAGCAAAGAGAGGGAGGGAGAGCAAGGAAGAGTCCTCGCTCGGTGCTCACAGGAGGTCAGATGCGTGGGACAGGTGGTGCCATCCCCTAGCTCCTTCTCGTCCTGGAAAAGGGGGGCGTTGGCAGCATTTGGAAACAGAGGAAGAGGGGTTTCAGATGTGTGGTGCCATGTGTCTCTCATTCAAATGCCACGCCATCCATCAAACAACTATTTGTCCCACCTTGTGCTCCTCCTCACTCACTACCAATGCAGTAGCGTCCCTTGTACTCGGGGAAATACATGTCCCCCCGTGCCTTCACACACTCATAGAACTGCCCTATCTTGTACTCGTTACAAGCATCTCCCTTCTCTCACCCTGTACTCCTCGCATGTTATGCAGTAGAGCAATTCGTACTGAGCACGATAGACATCCCCCCGTGCCTTCTCCCGCTAGTAGAACTGCCCTCTCTTGTACTCGTTATAAGCACCTCCCTCACCACTCCTCACAGGCAATGCAATAGCGCCCCTCACCTGCACCCGCTCACAGAACTGCCCTGTCTTGCCTTGTACTCGTTACAAGCATCTGCCTATCTCACCTTATACTCCTCGCAGGCAATGCAGTAGCGCCCCTCGTACTGCGCCCGGTACACGTCGCCCCTCGCCTTGACTCGATCGTAGAACTGCCGCACCACTGCCTCGTGGCGAGGCGAGGTGGTTCGGATGAACCGATCATAGGCAATGTCCAGCTGGAGTGGTGGAGAGGGGTGGAGAGGGGTGGAAGGGGAAGAGATGGGGGGATGAGGGGCATACGGTACATGGGATGGGAATGAAGCTGCCACCCCTATGCCTGACCGAACTGCCACACCACTGCCTCGTGGCAGGGTGAGGGTGTTCAGATGAATCGATCATTGGCAATGTGTAGGTGGTTGGTAGGGGTTGGAATGGAAGGGTGGGAGCATGGGGGAGATTGGGGGAGGAGAAACGAGAGAAACGAAGGGATGAGGTGAAAGCAGCCTTCACGCGCTCATAGAATGGCCGCTCTGCGGGTTCATGGCGGGGAGAGGTGCGGCGGATGAATCGATCATAGGCGATGTGCAGCTGGTAGGGGTTGGAATGGAAGGGGAGATGAGGGGCGAGAGACAGGAGAGGGAAATGAACTGAGACTGCCTGCCGCCCTGCCACTGACAGAGCTGCCACACCACGGTTGAGAATTCTCAAAAGTGATTTCAGCACTACTGACAGTGCTGCTGAGCCGTGCGCCCATTCTTGGCCACCGCCAGGGCGATCTTCTCACCATGTGACGTCTACCCACCCAGCCCCTGTACACCCCTCCCCACCACTCCCCACCACTCCCCACCACTCCCAACCTCTCCCAGACTTGTTTCACCGCTTCGCACCTTGCTCCACAGCTGCTTGTACTCCTCAGCAACAGCATCGCAGTGCTGCTGCGGGGTGCGCCCATTCTTGGCCGCCGCCAGGGCGATCTTCTCCCCGTGCTCGTCCGTGCCCGTCACAAACGTCACCTGCTTGCCTTGCAGCCGCTGCAGTGGTTATAAGTGCGAGAATTGTGGGGAGGTGGGGATATGTCAACATGTGCCAGAGCAATCTTCTCTCCATGCTCGTCCGTGCCCGTCACAAATGTCACGTCCTTGCCTTGCAACCGCTGTAATGAGTGGGTCAAATGGGTCAAAGTGGGTCAAGTTGGTTAAGAACGTGTCAGTTCGATCTTCTCCCCGTGCTCGTCCGAGCCCGTCACAAACGTCGCCTCCTTGCCTTGCAGGCGCTGTAGCAGGGGTGAGGGATGGGTCAGAGTGGGTCAAAGTGGGTCAGAGTGGGTCAGAACGTGCCGGAGCATTCTTCTCCCCGTGCTCGTCTGTGCCCGTGACAAACGTCACGTCCCTGCCTTGCAGCCGCTGCAATGATGGGGTGGACGAGGGGGGAGATGCGGGGAGGTGGGTGGGACGTGTTCAGCAGACATGTCTTGAGACGTCTCAAAACTCGATGATGGGGTGGGCGAGGGGGAAAATTAGTGAGGCGTCTCAAAATCGACCTCAATGGGTGGGACGTGTTCAACAGACATGTTTTGAGACGTCTCAAACCTCGATGATGGGGTGGGCGAAGGAGAAAATGCGTGGACGTGGGTGGGATCAATGGGATGCCTTTATTTAACAGACATGCCCGTGCGATCTTCTCCCTGTGCTTGTTCGTACCCTGTCACGAAAGCCGTTGCAGTCGCTAGAGCGGATTGGAGTGGGGGACGGAGGGGATTGGGTCAACGTGGGTCAACGAGGGTCAACGTGGGTAGACATCGCACCTGAAAGCGCGCTAGTGCGTCAGTGGCAATAGTGGGGTAAGCGGACCCCATGTGCGGTGCCACTCTCTCCTCTTCCACCGCATTGCACCGCTCCCAACGTATTACGTACCGTCACCTAACTCCCTCATCGCACCTGAAAGCGCGCTAGTGCGTCGGCGGCTATAGTGGGGTAAGCGGATCCCATGTGCGGCGCCGCGTTCACATAGTACAGCGGCGTCGTCACCACGAACCGCTCGCGCGCGCCGCCTTGCTCCTCCCCTCCCGTTGTGCTGCATCGCGCCGCCCTCGCGCGCCTCGGTACTAGGCGTGCCGTGGACCAGATCCCGCCGAGCCGCGAGGAGAGCGCGATAGGACGGTAGTGGGTGGAGCTAGAGAGGTAGTGAGGTGTGCGGAGCGGTGGGGTGAAGGGTGACGATAACCGCGAGGCTGCTGCAGGAGGCTTCGAGGAACTTTCGTGATGGTGGATGGAAGGGAATGAGGAGCGATTCAGAGAGGGGGAGAGAGCGGCTCGGGAAGACGAACTAATCATTGTGGCGGGCGTTGCGGCGGATGCAGCGCAGGGTGTTGCGGCGGCTATTGCAAGAATCGCCGCGGCGCGAGCCGGCGGAATGCCGTGGAAGGCGGAAACGACAGACGCGGCGGAGGGGCGGAGAAAGGGCGCGGACGGGCGGAAAAAGGGCGCGGAGGTGCGGAGAAAAGGCGCGGAAGCGTTGATTGCGGAGGCGAATGGGCTACGCGGCGACACAAGAGCCCTGAAGAGCGGCGACGATACGCGCATCGACCGACGCGCGCGACGCGACGGATGCGGCGGGGTCAATGGGATCGAAGGGATGCGATGGACTCTTGGGTTCGTCGCGTCCTACACACCGCCTTTGGCAATTCGCCAATCACGAGTCTCAGCGGCTTCTGCCAAGTCAGGGTGCTGCTGGATAAAAGACTGTTTGCTAACTGCCTCAAAGTTGACTGGCCCGGCTTGTTAGTGGTTTTAATCGCGGTCTGCAACGTGGAAGCCGCTGAGACTACCAACGCTGACGTGGAACGGAGGCAGCAAAGTCGTGGCTTGGGCGTGAACCAGTCATGGACATCCTCGTTTGAGCCGTTAGCGAATATTAAAATGTAATGAGTGTAGATGTGCAAGGCCTAACAACTGCAAAAGTGGCATGCTAAATTCAAGTCCAGCCACGCCCAAGCGAAGGCACATGTGCGGTTACATTTCGTGTCGTCGCGAACATGTGGTTCTCGTCCCGTCCCGTGCCAGCTCAACCAGTCGGGGTCACAAATGTGTACGGCGTGGTCCCGAGGGCGAATCTCGCAAATCTCGCACAATTGATGAGTTCATCTCTCCCTAAGACCAACTTACACCGCTTTAGACCGTATAATAGTCGTTCTGAAACAAACATCACCTCACTACACCCAGGGTCATTCACCCAGGTTCTTTTGAACAAATAATGTGGAATATTCAAGCAATGCAAGCAGATTGTTTTTGCTCCAATCCGCACCTCCCATTTCGCCTCTCTCACAGAATCTCACTGATCTGTTGTTGTTTCTCTCTAACTCTGCCCCTTATCCGCTCCTTTCTATCCTCTCCTTTCGCTGCGCGACTGGTTTAGTAACGGCACGACACGTGGCGTAACTGCCGCCTCCCGATCTATCAGCGGTTGGATTCTTGAGCACTAGGAGGGCGACCCGAATCGTCGTCGTCGTCTGATCGTCCAGTCGAGTCAAGCGACACCCGTCGCACGTGTCGCACGCGTCGCCATGGGGTGGTACACGTCGCTCATCGTGCTCGTCGTCGCCGTCGCCGCGGCGGCCGTTCTCACGCCCGACGCCATGGTGCGTGCGTCTCTTGCCTCTCGTCTCTCGTCTCTCTCCTCTCACAGCTCCCTTATTGTTCACCGCGCATCTCGTACCCGACGCCTTGATGCGCGCGCGCGGCCCCCCCCCCTCCCCCCTTCCCCCTTTTTCCCTTCTCCCCTACACGGCCGCGTGCGTCACTCGTTTTTCTCTCACAGCTCCCCTACCGTGCATCGCGCATGTCGTAGCCGACGCCATGGTGCGTGCGCGCAAGACTTTCCCCTCGCGCTGCTCATGCCTCCGCTGTGTTCTCTGTGTACTGCGGATGCGTTTTCCCCTCCTCGTCTTCTGAGGCGCCTCTTTTTTTTAGGAGTTTTTAGGCGCGTAAAAAATCGCCGTGCTTTCTGTGTACTGCGGATTCGTTTTCCCCTCCTCGTCTTCCTACGTCTTGTCTTCCGTCATCTCCACTTTCTTCTCTCCGTCCCCCCGGCCCCTTTCCCCCTCCAGCTACCATACGGCCGCGGTGCCAAGCCCAGCGCTGCTCTGCTGTTTCCGTGGCTCTGATGCGCTCGTCCTCAAACCTCCTTCCCTCCGGCCCCTTTACCCACTTCCAGCTACCATACGGCCGCGGTGCCAAGCCCAACGTCCCCTTCCTCTCACCCACAGTGTTCGCAGCGCTACGGTTTGTGCACGTGCTGTGCTGCCCTGTGGCTCTGACGCTCTTCTCCTCAACCCTCTGTCCCTCCTCCCCGCTCCCCCATGCAGCTGCCATACCGCGCCAAGCCCAGCGCCCCCTTCCTCTCGCCCACGGCGTTCGCAGCGCTGCGCTTCGACCACGTGCCGTGCTGCTCCGTGGCTCTGACGTGCCCTCTCTTTTTCCCGTTTTCCCTCTCTTCTTCCATTCTTCCCTCACTCCCGTCCTCCCTGCAGCTGCCATACCGCGCCAAACCCAACGCCCCCTTCCTCTCGCCGACAGCGTTGGCAGTGCTGCGCTTCGCCCACGTGCTGTGCTGCTCCGTGGCTCTGGGGGCGTCGGTGTGGGTGACCTTCTTTGCTGGCGTCATCATGTTCCGGTGCGATGCGAGCTGGGGGGTGGGAGTAGCTGGGGGGTGGGAGTAGCTGGGGGGTGGGAGTAGCTGGGGGGTGGGAGTAGCTGGGGGGTGGGAGTAGCTGGGGGGTGGGAGTAGCTGGGGGATGCGATGTTCAGGTAGGTGGGCGGCACAGACACATGCTCCGTGGCTCTGGGGGCGAGAGAGCAGTGAGTTGTGAGAGCAGGTGCGAGGGAGATGAGAGGCGGGTCAAAGGGAGGGACACATGGGTCACTGCTGCTGGGATATGAGCGGCAGGTCACCTTCTTTGCTGGCGTTTAGATGTTCCTGTGAGAGGTGGAGGCAGAGAGATGAGAGATGGGAGCCGGGAGAAGGTATACGTGAGAGAGTAGCTCCGAGGGGGGATAGCAGAAACAGGGGGCCCACTTCCCCCTCCATACACACCCCCACACAGCCACCTCCCCCGCCACACCTTCGGCAGCATCCAGGATCGTCTCTTCCCAGCCTACTTCCGCCTTGTGGGCTCTCTTTCAATCACTCACCCTCCCTCCCTTCCCCCCCGCGGTTCCTCACCCCCCCATCCCCCGCGCAGCCACCTCCCCCTCCACACCTTCGGCTCGGCAGCATCCAGGGCCGCCGTTTCCACTCACCTTGGCTCTCTGCCTTCCTCCCCTCCCTCCCTCCTCTTTCCCCCACACCCCCACACAGCCACCTGCCCCGCCACACCTTTGGCAGCATCCAGGGTCGTCTCTTCCCGGCCTACTTCCGCCTTATGGCCCTCTCCTCTGCCCTCTCTGCCCTTGCTCTCAAACTCACTCTCAACCCCGCCGCTGCTGCTGCCGCTGGTGAAGCTGCTGGTTCCGGGGCAGGGGGGTTGCAGCAGGTGCAGCTGCTGCTGCTGGTGGCTGCTCTTTCTGCCGCACTGCTGAATCTGCTGCTGTTCGAGCCTATCACCACCAAGGTGGGTTGGGATATAGGTACTTAGGCAGTCATGCTGTATTTGGAACCACATCAAACAAATCAGATATGCTGCTGACTTCTGAGGCGTCTCAAAAGTCATGCTATACTTGGAGCCAAATGAGCCGTATGTGCTGAATGAGCTGAATCAAATATGCTGCTGCTACTACCTGCGCTTGCTGTCTCTGCACTCTGTTGAATCTGCTCACTCTGCTCACTCTCCTCACTCCGCTGTTGCTCGAGCCTGTGACCACCAACGTGCATCCGTGCTTTCACCCCTCACCCCCTCTCCTGAGTCATGCCTCATCGCCTCGTTCCCTACACAGATCATGCAGGGGAGGCATGGCATAGAGGAGCAGGGAGGAATCAAGGATGAGGCGGGCGACTTTTGGGACGTTTCAAAAGTTCTTCTAGGTGCATTTTGAGGCGGTCTTTTAAGCGCCTCAAAAGTCGACTTTTGAGACGTCTCAAGGGGCACGGCATAGAGGAGGAGGCAGGGATCAGGGATGAGGCGAACAGCATTAGAGGTTGACCCGTTGCTTCACGACATGCATTCGTGCGTTCTCCCTTGCCCTCCCCCATCGTCTTGTTCTCATACAGATCATGTGCGAGCGGCACCGCATAGAGAAGGAGGCAGGCATAGGGGAGGAGCCGGGATTGTTGAGGAAAATATGTTTTTTCTTTCATGCCGTGCATTATTGCCTCCCTTTTTCTTTTTCTCATACAGATCATGCGCGAGCGGCACCGCGTAGAGAAGGAGGCAGGCATCGGGCAGGAGGTGGGGCTGTCGCGCAACAGGGAGGTCGCACGGACCAATAAGGAGCTGGCAGCTGTCAACCGCCGGTTCGGCATGTGGCACGGCATGTCCTCTCTCTCCAATCTCGTTGCGCTCTGCTCCCTGGGCGCTAACGCGTGGTTCCTTGCACAGCAGCTCCCTGTCTAGCAGCTGTGCCCTTCCCATGTAGTAAGACGCTGCCGGCAGCAAACCAGGATTCAGCATGGCATGTCCTCTCTCTCCAATCTCGTTGCGCTCTGCTCCCTGGGCGCTCACGCTTGGTTCCTTGCACAGCAGCTCCCTGTCTAGCAGGCTAGCAGCTATTGTTGAGGCACCTCAAACTTTGTGTGCTCCTTAAGTGCTCTCGCTTGGTTCCTCGCTCAACAGCTAGCTGATGTGCCCTTCTAACCTGGTAGGAAGCTGACAGGTAGTTACCAAGTCGTTGACTTGGCCTGTGGCATTGCCCTCTTCTGTACATCGATGTCCAGTGTCCACGCTTTGTTCCTTGCTCATACCATAGATGATGCTTGGTTCATCGCTCTTAGATGGATGCTATAGTACAGCTGTGTATGGGGTGGTTGTACTGTACACATGGCCGCAGGTCCCTAAACGTCAGTTTTTTTATGTTGATTCCGGTGAAAAAAGGACAATTTAATTTACAGAGACCCCGTTTTAGTATGAGGATTTCAAACCTCATGTTCTTGAGATGCACCAGCTTGTAACATAAAGATTAAAAGAAGGTTATGGATGGTTTAGGTATGAGGAGTAGTAGCTGATGTCATATTCACATTAACAGTGTTTCTAGATAGAATGACATGAACAGTGTTTTGACATAGTTGAGTTCCTTCAGAATTCACTTTAGCTGGACTGGCACACGAAGTGTACTATAAACACATGTACAGCCGTTGTTGCGAAACTGTGCGACGAATTTGGAATCGCTGCTAGTCGCAGGAGATATCTGGTGCAGTGCTCTGCTTGTGGGAGAGAAGGGAACTTAGCTTTTTCGAAGCGTAGAGTACTTGCGCCTGACTGGACCCGACTACCGTAATTAGAACTGCGGGTTAGTGCTCGACGTAACGTCGTTCGCTTGGGGGAGGGTAGGAGGACGGCACAGCTGTCGAACTTCGGGGGTTGCGTAACAATGCGATTCATATATACTTCCGTTTCACGTTGGTTCGAACGCTCAGCAGCTTAGCCCTGGTTTCAAGTGAACCGGGCTTCTTTTTTGTGAGTCGGTATTCGACCCGTTAGCGTCGTCATTTCCGGTAGGTTCCCCGACACGTGCGTCGTCGCTTGGCCACGGCGGTACGATCACCCTGATAGTTCCAACAGGATTTTTGGAAAAGCCAATCATGCGATCCGCGCATTCGTGGTAAGCTAAGGCCTAGTGTTCCCGGCTGTTGTCGCTTAGTTACTTCGGCTGCAGACTTCGCTAGCTTGATTCCCTGGGATAGTTCCACGACAGCGAAAAAACACGGTTGACTGCATTATCCGATCGTTACATGCGCTGCTCGTTCAACCTCTTTCGCGAACAGACTCTCGTCGCAGCACAGGGTCGGAGTAACCATTTTGGGTTACCAGCACCGGCGAAACGACGATGCGGAAGCGGGAGCGCGAGAACCCATGTTACATCTGCGGACACTACCATAAATACGAGGAGGGGGAGCCGTGCGGGGTGTGCGGGCATCGATTAATCCCCGCGGACGAGCGCAGCAACGGCGCCGCGGCGCAGGCGCACAGCGCGTTCTCGTCGGAGATTATCCCAGGGTTTCTGTTCTGCGGGAGCTACGACAACGCGTCGCGATCGGAGCTACTTAAAGCGCAAGGGATCACTCGGATCCTAAACGTGAGCGATCGGAGCCATAGGGGTGCCAGTGTGCGGAAGGGTGTATCGGTGAGGTTTAGGGGGGTGCGAGCTTAGCTGTGCTAAGTCACGCCGTTTTCTTTGAAATGTAGGTGATTGGGGAGGAGGTGCGGAGAAGAGCAATAAATCTGCACTGTCCCTTGCAGTGTCATTGCACTTATACCCTTGTTTGCCTTTATCATCCCTCCAAGTGTTCAGTCTTGAAATGCCATCACGGCATGTTGACCGTGTCCATTATTGTTCCTTTCGCTCTTCTCATCCACACTCCCCTCCTCTCCCCCCTCCTCGTGTGGTGTGGCCTGGTTTTGTGCCGTGGCTGGTGGCTGTGTGCTATGACTGCTACTCCCTGCAGACCGTACCCACGTGTCAGAACCTCTATAAGAACTCCTTCGTTTATCACACAGTGCAAGACAGCAAGGTCATTCCCTTCGAAGAATGCAACCAATTTATTGGTATTCTTTCAATCAACCCGTGCCATGCTTTCCTCGCCATGCCATGCCATGCCATCATGACCTCTCATGCCATGCCATGCCATCATGACCTCCCATGCCATGCCATGCCATGCCATCATGACCTCCCATGCCATGCCATGCCATGCCATGCCGTCATGACCTCCCATGCCATGCCATGCCATGCCATCATGCCTCCATGCCATCATGACCTCCCATGCCATGCCATGCCATGCCATCATGACCTCCCATGCCATCTGCCCCTTCGCACTTTTGCCTCATCATTCAGTCCTTCCTTCAGGCCGTCCACACACACCTATTCTTCCTCTCCCCCGGTCATTCTATCCACCCTCAATCTCCTCGCATCGTCCCCGCGCCCCTCCGCGCCTTACCACCCTTTTCCCTTCCCGCATCACCCAACATCATCACTCCTCTGTTCAATCCTCCGTCCCAACTCCCCTTTTCGTTCCCTTTGAGGAGAATCACAATCCCTTCCGCTCCTGTCACCCAACGGCATTATTCCCTTGTTTGATCCGTCCTCAATTCCCTTTATTTCGTCCCTTCAACCTCCTCTCACTCCCCTTCCCGCCCTACCTTCCCCCCTCACTCAACCATATTGGCAACAGAGCAATGTGAGCGGGAGCAGGCGAAGGTACTGGTGCACTGCATGTCGGGCCAGAGCAGGTGAAACCCCCCATGCCATGTGTGCCCTTAGCCATGTACACTTAGCCTTAGTTGTCACACCCATCAGGGTTTGCACAGCGAATGCAGCCTTAGTTGTCACACCCATCAGGGTTTGCACTGCGAATGCAGCCTTAGTTGTCACACCCATCAGGGTTTGCACCGCATGTCAGGCCAGAGCAGGTGAAACCCCTTCGTTCCGAATGCCCTCGTTTACTTAGCCTTCATAATTAGATCCACCAGAGCCTGCTCTGAAAACCGCCCTGCCAATGGAGCACGTGAGGGAACGAATGCCAAGCTGTGTGAGACAAAGGAAGGATGATGCTCAATGTAATGTTCACTTTATGCTCGCTTGATGCGGGCCAAGGCAGTAAAGCCGATGCATGCTGTGAAGAACGCACCCTGCCTGCCAATCTGTTCCCAATCCTCCCCCTTCCCCCTCGTCTCCCCTCCCCTTCCCTTCCCTCCTCCTGCATCCTCCATCTCCTCCCCCCACGTATTCCTCCCACCCGCATCCACTAGTGGTGGGTACCTGATGCGGGCCAAGGGGGTTATGATGATACATGCTGTGAACAACACACCCTGTCAGTCTTTCTACCACCCCCTTTCCCCCTTTCGTTCCCATCTCCTCTTACTGCAGGTCGCCAGCCGTGGTGGTGGGTACCTGATGTGGGCCAAGGGGGGTTCAAATAATGCTTGTAAAAAAAAAACCCTCAATCTCACTCCCCCTTGCTCCTCTTTTCCCCCATCCACTCTCACTCCCCCTTGCTCCTGCTGCAGGTCGCCAGCAGTGGTGGTGGGATACCTGATGCGCGCCAAGGGGGTTCAGATGATGCATGCTGTTAACAACACACCCTGTCACTCTTCACCCAACCCCTTCCTCCCAACCACTCTCTTTCCCCCTTGCTGCAGGTCGCCAGCAGTGGTGGTGGGATACCTGATGCGCGCCAAGGGGGTTCAGATGATGCATGCTGTTAACAACACACCCTGTCACTCCTCACCCAACCCCTTCCCCCCAACCACTCTCTTTCCCCCTTGCTACAGGTCGCCAGCAGTGGTGGTGGGATACCTGATGCGCGCCAAGGGGGTCAAACTGACCGAGGCAGTCGCATGGGTGACGGAGAGACGACCATCAGTCAACATACAGCCGGGTATGCCATTCTGATCCTTGTGCTGCATACGAGGGAATTTTACCGGATAGGCCCATACAGCTAGCCAGGTATGCATGTCTGGAGCATGTGAGGCGGTGTGGTGCAGGCAGGAAAGGAATGAACAGCAGCAAGCCCATGGTTCGCATGTGGCGGCATCCCATGAGGACCATGACTGGTGGTGTTGGCTCCCGTTGCTGCACTCTCGTTATGTGTCGTGCTGTCGCAATGCTCACCATGCGGGCTGTGATGTGTAGTGCAGCTTGCGAGTTTTCCTTTGGCTCATCATATGTGGTGAGCCACATGCTATTGCCCAACCCCTTCATGCTCCCACACCTCCCTCCCACCACCGTCTACTCCATCTCCCGCTCTTCCCTTCCACTTCCTCTCACTCCCTTTTCTTGCCCTGCCAGCCATGCTCTAAGCCAGCTGAAGGGCAAAAAAAAAAAAAAAAAAAAAAAAAAAAAACCTTTCTCGTCTCGCCTTCCCGTCCACTGCCTCCCCCTCCCGCATCTCGCCCTGCCAGCCATGCTCAGCCAGCTGCAGGCCTTTGAAGCCCGCCTCTTTGGAGGTGACGCCGCTCTGAATTCTTCCGACCAGCTCCAGCAGCAACAGCTGCAACAACAGCAGCAGCAGCAGATTCCGCAGGCAGGGGCGTCGTCAGGCCACATCACTCCCCTCTCTGCTCCCGGCCAGTTCCCCGCCAACACCACCGCCTCCCCCTCCTCCTTCCCACCACTCCCCAACTTCCCATTCCCCATGCCGCCCTTTCCCCTAGGCCCTGATGCCAATCCTGCTGATGCTGATGCTGCTCCCCCGTTTGCAGGCATGCCCCCTCTAGCCCCTGTCCCCTTCCCGCCTATCCCTGGCATGCCAGCTGGCGGCATGCCATTCGCCTTCCCTGGTATGGGGGCTGGCGCAGGGGGAAATCCTCCCGAGGGGTTTGTGTTTGGGGCAGGGGGGGAGGCAAACAGAGGGGGTGCAGGGCAGGGGGGGAATGGGGGAGGGGTGCAGTGAGTGCAGCTGAGAGTACGTTTGACTGGTGGGGACTGACGTATGGTTAACGCCATCGTCAGTCCCCATGCTGCTATATCTACGAGCATGGGGTTGGGCTGAGCCTGATAGAAACTGCTCTTCCTACCAAGAAGAGTCAATCTGCATATTGCTAGTAGCATCGCCCCTGGTTGAGGAATGGTATGGCAGCAGTTGCCGTTTTTCTATGGGTGGGAGAGGCTCCAGGTATTAGGGTTCTGTTCCGGAACCTACAGTCTTACATTATCTACTGGTATGTTGGGCCTAGAAATATTCCAACCATGAATAAATTTCCTCATTGCAAATTAGGCGTTAATAACTGTTTTGTACAGTCGATCAACCATATTACTCTCCTCCAATGGCCGCGATTCAGCTGCAATTATTGGAGTGCTGCTTGACTCCTCTTCACCAACCACCTCCCTTTCTCACGCGGCTCGACTTCTCCCTCCACGCCCCCAGCCCAGGCCCCAGCCCATCCACACCCTCCGTTTGCGGCAATCTCGAAATTGGATTTCAATCCAAATCCGAACGCGTTCCCTGCTCTGATCCCCCACACCGCACACCACCCCGCCTCACCTGCTCGTCGTCTGGGGTGCGCAGGTACTCTCTCTACCATTAGGGGCGCTGCCAGTAGAAAGCAATTGAGCAGTGCAAGGTGGGGGCACATCTGCATCTTCTGTTTGCGCTGAACATCGGCATTCCCTAGCAAGCAATCGCTCGGCACTTGGAGGTCAGGCGCGGCATGATTCAGCTTTGCAAGCACTTAGTCAACCCTCCCGTCCTTCACTTCCGCTGTCACAATAACTAGAGCTCGCCACGCACACCGCAACAAGCTCTTCCTTACAGCTTCGCACATCGCGTTTACCCTTCAAAATACCACGCGCTCATCAGCTTGAGTTAACCAGGCCGCCGTCATTCCCGCTCTCTGCCTCTCCCCCTTCTCATATTTGACCCATACCATCGAACCCCATGGCTGGTGTCAAGATCACCTCGCAAGCACCTCGACTAATGCACTTCGCCTCCTCCCTTCGTCGGCCTCTCACCGTAACCGTCTTTCTCGCTGCTCTTTTTCACGCAACGGCCACGGCTGTGTCCACGGCTGCGGCCACTACGGAGCCTGCAATTGCGGGAAACCTTCCGGGCGACACGGTCGCGCCGGTTGCCTCCAACAGGCGACTCCTCTCTGACGCGGCGCAGCTCGTTTCGTCCCAGTCAGGTCCCGTCACAGTCACAGCTTCCGTCGGATCTTCGTCGCATGCGACGGCTCGAATGCTGTATGCGAGGTTTCCCGAAATTCGGAACGACGATCGCGACCACGCGCATTACCTCGATCCGCAGAACCGCGCGCGCGCGGAAGTCGGCTCCCCCGCGATTGTGTGGGACGCGGAGCTGCAGGCGCAGGCGGAGCGACTGGCGGAGTACCTTGCGCAAAAGGAGGGATGCGCGGTGCGGCGGATGAAGGAAGTCAGCGGCGGGGTCAACTTGCGCTGGGCGGCGGAAAGCTGGGGGGTGCCCGCGGAAGCGGAATCGGCGGTGGCGGAGTGGGTGCGCGAAAAGGCGCACTACCGCCTGGAAGCGTTCCCCGCGGGGTGCGCGGAGGGTAGGGATTGCACGCACTACACGCAGGTGGTGTGGAAGAAGACGGAGCGCGTCGGGTGCGGAACGGCGATGTGCAACGAAGGGGGAGCCGTTTGGGCGTGCCGTTACTTCCCACCCGGCAATATCGAGGGGGACCGCCCGTACTAATTTTGAGAACCTCTTATTATGCCCTCCACAGAGAGCGAGAGCGTGAGTGAAGGCGGATCCCACTGCGTTTGGGAAGTTAGCTTGGAGGCGATAAATCGAAATCCACAGGTTCACTGAATTCGTGTTGCGCGGTGTAACCTGATTGTCACTGGCAGCGCAATAAGCGAGCACAGTGCAGTTTCATTCAGTTTCTACAGTTACATTTCTTTTATGCTGTGTATAACTCCCAAATTTCTTATTGGTTCATTTCAGAATTTCACTGGAAAGCCATAGTAAACACATTTATTGCCTCTAATGTAGGTTGGAAACACTTCCAGGTAACATCCTTGCTAAAACCCTTACCTACGGTATATGGTGATTTCTACCCAGCCCGTTTGGTTGCCAAGATGGCAACCACGTCAAGTATGGCAATATTCATAATTAGCAGCCCAAGAGTATGGCGCCACTTCATTTGCACGTGGGACAGCTAGTGCTACCCCACTTGCGCATGAGACAGCTGGCACCACCTCAGCTGGGGCCACGTCACTTGCGCACGAGCAGTGGGCGCATCATGTCGTTGTCCTCGTGCTCGAGGATGTGGCAGTGCCACACATACCCCGGGCCCTGCGATGGGTCGAATGAAAACGGCTTGCCATCCTGGAGTGAGGGGAAGGAAGGGGTGTGGTGGGTGGGAGGGAGTACTTTTTAGGCACCTCAGGAGAGGGCTCCAGGATGTGGCAGTGCCACGCGTACCCCAGGCCCTGTGACAGGTCACAGGGAAGGACTTGCTGTTTTGGAGTGAGGGGAAGGAAGGGGGAAAATGGGGGAAGTGATGGGGAGGGCAAGGGGGAGGGGGTAACAGGGATAATAGGCAGGACAGGGAGGGGAGAAGGGGTGATGATGGTACCTGGCCTCTTGTGCATGCACACCTGTGAGCGGACGGCAACAAGGATGGAATAACACCTTGCCCGGGTGTGTGCATTGAGCTTTACTCTGTATGCATCTGCACCCTTGGCAGTACATACCTGTGAGCGCACGGCCACGAGGATAGATAGCAACTCCCCCGGGTGTGAGCACTGAGTCTATTGGCTATGCTTGGGGAACCTTGGGATACACGCACCTGTGAGCGCACGGCCACGAGGATAGATAGCACCTCCCCCGGGTGGGATTTAGTAGTGTCCTTCCACCCCTGTTCGTTCAGATCCACCCTCCTCGCCCGCCCTGTGAAGCACGAGGGCAGCTTGTCCTCCCCGCTGCTCCTCGTGCCGCCATCACTGCTGATAATGCCACTGCTGCCGCCGCTACTCGCGCCGCCACCGCCGCCGCCGCCGCCGCCGGTCATCATGCTGCTGCTGCTTGTCATGCTGCTGCTGGTGGTGCCAATGATGCTGCTCCTGGTGATGCTGCCACCAGGAGAGGAGGAAGCGGAGAGCGAGGAGGCGGAGGCGGAGGGGGAGGGGGAGGGGGAGGAGGGGTAGCCCGGGTAGGGGTAGAAGGCGCAGTCGTCTGAAAGGAAGGCCTCAGAGTTGAAGGGACGGCGAGCAAAGGGGCGGTGCTGCACAAGGTGCAGGTGGATGGGGTGTGAGTCGGCCGATGGGTTGATGATGTGCCATATCTCCACCGCTCCCTGCTTGCTCCCACATGAAGGATAGGGGGGGAAAGGAAGGCAAGTTAGGGGAACGGATATGAACGGGCGGTGCTGCACCAGGTGCAGGTGGATGGGGGGTGTGTCGGCTGAGGGGTTGAAGATGCGCCATGTCTCTACTGCCCCCTGCTTGCTCGCACAGCACACAGAGGGCAGAGAGGGAAGGGTGAGGCTGTCGGGGTGAGGGTGTCGGGGTGAGGGTGTCGGGGTGAGGGTGTCGGGGTGAGGGCAGGGTGGTACGAAGGGGCGGTGCTGCAGCAGGTGGATGGTGTGTCAGCTGATGGGTTGATAATGTGCCATAACTCCACCGCGCCCTGCTTGCATGGGGGTGGGGGAGATGGGGGAACGGCCAGAAGCAAGCACAGTGATTGGAGCAACAGTGCATTAGCCCTGCAAAGAATATGACACTGTAAATAGCGCCTAGATTGAAATTGTGTGAGTGCGTTTTTTTAGACTTCTCAAAATTGACTCGAACATATGCGACACAGTAACTAGCCCGTGGCATCGTTGCAGCACTAGCACCAACACTCCTGCATCACTTTCGTTCAGGAAAATCTCGATAGCAGGCTGCAGTTACCCCGCCGGTTGAGCTTGAATGGCTCTATGCCAATCTATGGCTCTATGCCAATCTATGGCCCTATGATTCCCAAGCCCTGCATGATGCAGCACTCACATCCTGAGACGTCTCACAATCTCTCTTTAATCACGGAACTGCTTGAATGACTCTATGCCAATCTATGACCCTATTGTGTTCTAAGCCGTGCAAGATGTCTAGTTTTGAGGCGCCTCAAAACTAGCCCTGCAAGATGCATCACTCCCATTCTTGAGAATCTCAGTGGGAGGCTGAAATAACTTTTGAGTCGACTCAAATGTCAGCTCACATTCTTGAGAATCTCAGTGGGGGGCTGAAATAACTTTTGAGTCGACTCAAAAGTCAGCTCGCGTTCTTGAGAATCTCATTGGGGGGCTGAATTAACTTTTGAGTCATCTCAAAAGTCAGCTCACAGTCTTGAGAATCTCAGTGGGGGGCTGAAATAACTTTTGAGTCGACTCAGAAGTCAGCTCACATTCTTGAGAATCTCAGTGGGGGGCTGAAATAACTTTTGAGTCGACTCAAAAGTCAGCTCACATTCTTGAGAATCTCATTGTGGTGCTGAAATAACCCCTGGCAGTTGGGTTGAAATAACCCCCGGAAGTTGGGCTGAGATAACCCCCGGCAGTTGGGCTGAGATAACCCCCGGGAGTTGGGCTGGATGGTGGTGGGCATGTCACTGTCTAGGTCTAGGTCTACCCTCTCTCCCCTCTCACCACACCACCCCTGCAGCACTCACATTCTTCACAGTACAGTGGCAGGCTGAACATGCTCCCGCTCGTTGAGCTGACTGACGATGGGTGGGCATGTCAGTGTGCTGGCCGGGTCCACCCTCTCCCCTCTCCCCTCTCCCCTCTCCCCTCTCCCCTCTCCCCTCTCCCCTCTCCCCTCTCCCCTCTCCCCTCTCCCCTCTCCCCTCTCCCCTCTCCCCTCTCCCCTCTCCCCTCTCCCCTCTCCCCTCTCCCCTCTCCCCTCTCCCCTCTCCCCTCTCCCCTCTCCCCTCTCCCCTCTCCCCTCTCCCCTCTCCCCTCTCCCCTCTCCCCTCTCCCCTCTCCCCTCTCCCCTCTCCCCTCTCCCCTCTCCCCTCTCCCCTCTCCCCTCTCCCCTCTCCCCTCTCCCCTCTCCCCTCTCCCCTCTCCCCTCTCCCCTCTCCCCTCTCCCCTCTCCCCTCTCCCCTCTCCCCTCTCCCCTCTCCCCTCTCCCCTCTCCCCTCTCCCCTCTCCCCTCTCCCCTCTCCCCTCTCCCCTCTCCCCTCTCCCCTCTCCCCTCTCCCCTCTCCCCTCTCCCCTCTCCCCTCTCCCCTCTCCCCTCTTCCCCTCTCCCCTCTCCCCTCTCCCCTCTCCCCTCTCCCCTCTTCCCCTCTCCCCTCTTCCCCTCTCCCCTCTTCCCCTCTCCCCTCTTCCCCTCTCCCCTCTTCCCCTCTCCCCTCTTCCCCTCTCCCCTCTTCCCCTCTCCCCTCTTCCCCTCTCCCCTCTTCCCCTCTCCCCTCTTCCCCTCTTCCCCTCTCCCCTCTTCCCCTCTCCCCTCTTCCCCTCTTCCCCTCTTCCCCTCTCCCCTCTTCCCCTCTCCCCTCTTCCCCTCTCCCCTCTTCCCCTCTCCCCTCTTCCCCTCTCCCCTCTTCCCCTCTCCCCTCTTCCCCTCTCCCCTCTTCCCCTCTCCCCTCTTCCCCTCTCCCCTCTTCCCCTCTCCCCTCTTCCCCTCTCCCCTCTTCCCTCTCCCCTCTTCCCCTCTCCCCTCTTCCCCTCTCCCCTCTTCCCCTCTCCCCTCTTCCCCTCTCCCCTCTTCCCCTCTCCCCTCTTCCCCTCTCCCCTCTTCCCCTCTCCCCTCTTCCCCTCTCCCCTCTTCCCCTCTCCCCTCTTCCCCTCTCCCCTCTTCCCCTCTCCCCTCTTCCCCTCTCCCCTCTTCCCCTCTCCCCTCTCCCTCTCCCCTCTCCCCCCTACACCCCTGCGGCACTCACGTTCTTGAGAATCTCAGTGGGGCGTTCCAAAAAGCCTCGGCCGTTGATTTGAATGACGGTGGGCATGTCACTCTCTGGATCCATCCTCTCCCCCAGCACGTGCCAGCGCGATCTGCTCACCTGCTTGAAAGGTATACGCGCCAGGGGCTGGGGGGAGCGGTGGAGAGGAGTAGAAGGGTGTAGAGGGAAGTAGAGGGGAGTAGGGTTGGTAAAGGTGAGTAGGGTGGAGGGGGAACGATGGTGGGGAAAAGGTATGCGTGCTAGGGGCTGGGGGGGGGAGAAGAACGGGAGAGCGGGGCATGGTGGAGCGCAGAGGGAGGGGGGGTGGGTAGGGTGGAGAGGGAGTGGTGGTTGGGGGGTTACACTGTCCACTTACCCCCTCTCCCCCAGCCCATGCCCACGCGTCCTAGAGACCTGGTTTAAGGGCAAGCGCGCCAGGGGCTGGGGGGAAGAGGAGGGATAGGCGGTTGGGTAGAAGGGAGTAGAGGGGAATCGTGGGGGGGAGAGGGGAGTAGGGGGCAGTAAGGGCAAAGGTGATGACAGTGGGCAGGGCATGTCGCTGCCTGGGTCAACCCTCTCCCCCACCACATATGCCAGCATGTTTTAGTCACCTGGTTCAAGGGCAAGCGCGCCAGGGGCTGGGGGGTGGGGGGTGGAGAGCAGTAGAAGGGTGTAGGGGGGAGTAGAGGGGATAAAGGGGGTCGAGGTGAGTAGGGTGGAGGGAGAACAATGGTGGTGGGCATGTCGCTACCTGGGTCAACCCTCTCCCCCAGCACGGGCCAGCGAGTCCTAAGGACCTGGTTCAAGGGCAAGCGCGCCAGGGGCTGGGGGGAAGGAAGGGGGGGGTGGGCGGTGGAGAGTAGAAGGGAGTAGAGGGGGTAGAGTGGAAAGGGCGTGACGGTGGGCATGTCACTGTCCGCGTCCACCCTCTCTCCCAGCACATGCCAGCGCACTTTAGTCACCTGGTTCAGTGGGGGGTCCTGCAAGGGGCTGTAAACGGGAGAGGGGAGGAGTAGAAGGGCGCACAGGGGAGTAAAGGGGAGTAAAGGGGAGTAAAGGGGAGTAAAGGTGAGTAGAGGGGAGTAGAGGACAAAGCCATTGTCCAGGAGCAGAAGGATTGACGTTGAGAAATCCGCACCCTCTTTCCTCTCCCAGCACGTGCCAGCGCGCCTTGTACACCTGGTTCAGTTTTGAGACGCCTCAAACTCTTGTACACCTGTTGAAGGGCAAGCATGCAAGGGAGGAGGGGAGGGAGAGGAGAGAGGAGTAGAGGTGGGGGGGAAGAGAATTGTGAAAGAAGAGGAAAGTGCGGGTGGGAGGGGGGTGATTGGAGGAGGCAGGAGGTGAGGAAGGATGAGGAGGAGGGGGGGGGAGAGGGGGAGAGCGAAAGAGGGGAAGAGGGACAGAGGCAGGACTTGAGGCGGCAATAACAAAAGCCTGCATGCACATGTACAGTACCACCCCTGTCACATGCTCCCTCTGCTCCAATGCACTGTCACATGCTCCCTCTGCTCCAATGCACTGTCACATGCTCCCTCTGCTCCAATGCACTGTCACATGCTCCCTCTGCTCCAATGCACTGTCACATGCTCCCTCTGCTCCAATGCACTGTCACATGCTCCCTCTGCTCCAGTGCACTGTCACATAGTCCGCGTGTATTTAACTGGAGGTTCTGCCCTCCCCTGTCCTCTTCATGCTCCTTCTGTGCTGCATGGACTCACGTGCTGCATGGACTCACGTGCTGCATGGACTCACGTGCTGCATGGACTCACGTGCTGCATGGACTCACGTGCTGCATGGACTCACGTGCTGCATGGACTCACGTGCTGCATGGACTCACGTGCTGCATGGACTCACGTGCTGCATGGACTCACGTGCTGCATGGACTCACGTGCTGCATGGACTCACGTGCTGCATGGACTCACGTGCTGCATGGACTCACGTGCTGCATGGACTCACGTGCTGCATGGACTCACGTGCTGCATGGACTCACGTGCTGCATGGACTCACGTGCTGCATGGACTCACGTGCTGCATGGACTCACGTGCTGCATGGACTCACGTGCTGCATGGACTCACGTGCTGCATGGACTCACGTGCTGCATGGACTCACGTGCTGCATGGACTCACGTGCTGCATGGACTCACGTGCTGCATGGACTCACGTGCTGCATGGACTCACGTGCTGCATGGACTCACGTGCTGCATGGACTCACGTGCTGCATGGACTCACGTGCTGCATGGACTCACGTGCTGCATGGACTCACGTGCTGCATGGACTCACGTGCTGCATGGACTCACGTGCTGCCAAATCTCCCCTTGCCTTCGACTTCCTGTTACTGCCCTCCCCTGCCCTCTTCATGCCCTCCCCTGCCCTCTTCATGCCCTCCCCTGCCCTCTTCATGCCCTCCCCTGCCCTCTTCATGCCCTCCCCTGCCCTCTTCATGCCCTCCCCTGCCCTCTTCATGCCCTCCCCTCCCCTCCTGCCGCACTGTCCTCCCCTCCCCTTCCCTACCCTCAAGGCACACCACCCACCGCGATCATCTTGGGGAGGGGCGGAGCAGGGACTGCCGTTCGCTTGGTGAGGATAAAGCGCATTATCAAAGCTGTGCCGTCACTCACACGCTCGCCTGAAAATGGCGAGGTGGGGGTGGAGGGAGTTGGAGTGGCAAACTTTGAAAAATCGGAAACTTGGTGGGGATGGATGAGTCGCGTGATTACTTTTGAGAATTCTCAAAAGTAAAATCCACATGGATGGATGAATCGCTTGAACACGGGCGCTTGGTACAGTAGTGCCATCACTCACTCGCACGGTAGCAGGCCAAGTAAGCTTAGAGTAAGAGTGAGGTACCCCCCAACCTTTGAGGCGCCTCAAAACTTGGTGAGGATGGATGAATCGCTTGATCACGGACGCTTGGTACGGTCGTGCCATCACTCACTCGCACGGTAGCAGGCGAAGTAGGCTTAGAGTAAGAGTGAGGTACCCCCCAACCCAGCTCACTGGGTACCTCGCTCGTCCGTTGTGGGGTGCTGCTTGTGTTAGACTGTACGCACCAGCTGGATAACGTCAGAGGGCTGCTGCTGCTGGTGTCTGAATCCACTCACTAGCAGGGTGGGGTGCGCGGGCATCGTTGGTCAGCAGCACGTCACGGCACCAGGAGGGGGCTTCGTTGAAATCCACGGACCGCTGCTTATGTCAAGTAAGCCTAGAGTGGACTGCTGCTTATGTCAAGTAAGCCTAGAGTGGACTGCTGCTTATGTCAAGTAAGCCTAGAGTGGACTGCTGCTTATGTCAAGTAAGCCTAGAGTGGACTGCTGCTTATGTCAAGTAAGCCTAGAGTGGACTGCTGTTTATGTCAAGTAAGCCTAGAGTGGACTGCTGCTTATGTCAAGTAAGCCTAGAGTGGACTGCGGCTTATGTCAAGTAAGCCTAGAGTGGACTGCTGCTTATGTCAAGTAAGCCTAGAGTGGACTGCTGCTTATGTCAAGTAAGCCTAGAATGGACTGCTGCTTATGTCAAGTAAGCCTAGAGTGGACTGCTGCTTATGTCAAGTAAGCCTAGAGTGGACTGCTGCTTATGTCAAGTAAGCCTAGAGTGGACTGCTGCTTATGTCAAGTAAGCCTAGAGTGGACTGCTGCTTATGTCAAGCAAGCCTAGAGTGGACTGCTGCTTATGTCAAGTAAGCCTAGAGTGGACTGCTGCTTATGTCAAGTAAGCCTAGAGTGGACTGCTGCTTATGTCAAGTAAGCCTAGAGTGGACTGCTGCTTATGTCAAGCAAGCCTAGAGTGGACTGCTGCTTATGTCAAGCAAGCCTAGAGTGGACTGCTGCTTATGTCAAGTAAGCCTAGAGTGGACTGCTGCTTATGTCAAGTAAGCCTAGAGTGGACTGCTGCTTATGTCAAGTAAGCCTAGAGTGGACTGCTGCTTATGTCAAGCAAGCCTAGAGTGGACTGCTGCTTATGTCAAGTAAGCCTAGAGTGGACTGCTGCTTATGTCAAGCAAGCCTAGATTGGACTGCTGCTTATGTCAAGTAAGCCTAGAGTGGACTGCTGCTTATGTCAAGTAAGCCTAGAGTGGACTGCTGCTTATGTCAAGCAAGCCTAGATTGGACTGCTGCTTATGTCAAGTAAGCCTAGAGTGGACTGCTGCTTATGTCAAGTAAGCCTAGAGTGGACTGCTGCTTATGTCAAGCAAGCCTAGAGTGGACTGCTGCTTATGTCAAGCAAGCCTAGAGTGGACTGCTGCTTATGTCAAGTAAGCCTAGAGTGGACTGCTGCTTATGTCAAGTAAGCCTAGAGTGGACTGCTGCTTATGTCAAGTAAGCCTAGAGTGGACTGCTGCTTATGTCAAGCAAGCCTAGAGTGGACTGCTGCTTATGTCAAGTAAGCCTAGAGTGGACTGCTGCTTATGTCAAGTAAGCCTAGAGTGGACTGCTGCTTATGTCAAGTAAGCCTAGAGTGGACTGCTGCTTATGTCAAGTAAGCCTAGAGTGGACTGCTGCTTATGTCAAGTAAGCCTAGAGTGGACTGCTGCTTATGTCAAGTAAGCCTAGAGTGGACTGCTGCTTATGTCAAGTAAGCCTAGAGTGGACTGCTGCTTATGTCAAGCAAGCCTAGATTGGACTGCTGCTTATGTCAAGTAAGCCTAGAGTGGACTGCTGCTTATGTCAAGTAAGCCTAGAGTGGACTGCTGCTTATGTCAAGCAAGCCTAGAGTGGACTGCTGCTTATGTCAAGCAAGCCTAGAGTGGACTGCTGCTTATGTCAAGTAAGCCTAGAGTGGACTGCTGCTTATGTCAAGTAAGACTAGAGTGGACTGCTGCTTATGTCAAGTAAGCCTAGAGTGGACTGCTGCTTATGTCAAGCAAGCCTAGAGTGGACTGCTGCTTATGTCAAGTAAGCCTAGAGTGGACTGCTGCTTATGTCAAGTAAGCCTAGAGTGGACTGCTGCTTATGTCAAGTAAGCCTAGAGTGGACTGCTGCTTATGTCAAGTAAGCCTAGAGTGGACTGCTGCTTATGTCAAGTAAGCCTAGAGTGGACTGCTGCTTATGTCAAGTAAGCCTAGAGTGGACTGCTGCTTATGTCAAGTAAGCCTAGAGTGGACTGCTGCTGCTGGTGTTTGAGAGCGCTCACCAGCAGGGTAGGGCGCACGGGCATCATTCGTGAGCAGCACGTCACGGCACCAGGAGGGGGCCTCGTTGAAATCCACTAGCACGTCTAGTCGCTCCCCCGGTGCCACCAGCACGCTGCGCATGCGCAAGGGACGAGCGAGGTACCCGCCGTCACTGCCAATCTGCACACACAAGGGGGCAGGAGGCAGGAGGCAGGGGGAAGGGGGAGGGAGGGGAGAGGGGAGGGGAGGGGAGGGGAGGGGAGGGGAGGGCGCCTTGTTGAAATCCACCAGCACGTCGAGCCATTCCCCGGGTGCTACCAGCGCCACCTGGTCTACAAGCAAGCACCTTTTTACACTTCTATTTCTACCTAAACAACATAGTTGCTGCCATGTAAAGTCATGGCACCTAACTGGTGCCCACTTCGCACGTCGAGCCGCTCCCCGGGTGCTACCAGCGCCACCTGCACTTCCGACATGCGGAGAGAACGAGCGAGGTACCCGCCGTCACTGCCGACATGCGGAGAGAACGAGCGAGGTACCCGCCGTCACTGCCGATCCTGCAGGCGTGGGGGAAGTCAAGGGGTGGGTGAGACGTGGAGACAGGGAGGAGAGAGGCGAGGGGAAGGCACGTTCCCCCGGCGCCACCAGCACTCCCAGCATGCGCAAGGGGCGAGATAAGTAACAGCCGTCACTGCCAATCTGCAACCCCTGCCAGCATGAAAGAAGTGAACTCTTGAGACGTCTCAGAACTTTACTTGTATCACATGGCTGCTGACCTTGTATCACATGGCTGCTGACCTTGCATCACATGGCTGCTGACCTTGCATCACATGGCTGCTGACCTTGTATCACATGGCTGCTGACCTTGCATCACATGGCTGCTGACCTTGTATCACATGGCTGCTGACCTTGCATCACATGGCTGCTGACCTTGTATCACATGGCTGCTGACCTTGCATCACATGGCTGCTGACCTTGTATCACATGGCTGCTGACCTTGTATCACATGGCTGCTGTCCTTGTATCACATGGCTGCTGACCTTGTATCACATGGCTGCTGACCTTGTATCACATGGCTGCTGACCTTGTATCACATGGCTGCTGACCTTGTATCACATGGCTGCTGACCTTGCATCACATGGCTGCTGACCTTGTATCACATGGCTGCTGACCTTGTATCACATGGCTGCTGACCTGCATCACATGGCTGCTGACCTTGTATCACATGGCTGCTGACCTTGTATCACATGGCTGCTGACCTTGCATCACATGGCTGCTGACCTTGTATCACATGGCTGCTGACCTTGTATCACATTGCTGCTGACCTGCATCACATGGCTGCTGACCTTGTATCACAGGGCTGCTGACCTTGTATCACATGGCTGCTGACCTTGTATCACACGGCTGCTGACCTTGTATCACATGGCTGCTCAACCCCTGCCTGCGTCAAGGGGATGATGGGCCAGCAGCACCTCCTGCCAACACAGCACAGCACAGCACCGCACAGCACCGCACAGCACAGCACAGCACAGCACAGCACCGCACCGCACAGCACCGCACAGCACAGCACAGCACAGCACAGCACCGCACCGCACAGCACTGCACAGCACCGCACCGCACCGCACAGCACAGCACAGCACAGCACAGCACAGCACCGCACCGCACCGCACCGCACAGCACAGCACAGCACAGCACTGCACCGCACCGCACAGCACAGCACAGCACAGCACAGCACCGCACCGCACCGCACAGCACAGCACAGCACAGCACAGCACAGCACAGCACGGCACAGCACAGCACCGCACCGCACAGCACAGCACAGCACAGCACAGCACAGCACAGCACAGCACAGCACCGCACAGCACAGCACAGCACAGCACAGCACAGCACCGCACAGCACAGCACCGCACAGCACAGCACAGCACAGCACAGCACAGCACCGCACAGCACAGCACCGCACAGCACAGCACAGCACCGCACAGCACAGCACCGCACAGCACCGCACAGTACCGCACAGCACCGACCTGGGTCATGGGAATGATGGGTCCCCTGAAGGGCGGCTTGAAGTCAGGGTAATCCCCCCTCACGGCATACTGGAAGCGCAGATGGTAGACACGCACATTGAACGCCCCCAGGATCAACAGGCAAGCAAGCAGCACAGCTCTGCACTGTACCGCACTGCACCCCACCCACCTGAGTCATGGGGATAATGGGTCCCCTGAACGGAGGCTTAAAGTCGTGGTAATCACCCCTCACGGCGCACTGAAAGCGCAGGTGGTAGAAGCGTGCGTTTGATGCCCCCAGGATCGGCAGCCGATACAGTGCCCTCCGCACCCGGAAGAACGGCCAGACCTGGAGGAGAGGTGTGGGAAAAAAGGGGATGGGGAGAACCAGGTTGAGGGGTGTGTGTAAGGTGACACAAAGCAAGGGCGGGCACACAGCTGATACAAAACTGTTCAAACCTTAACAATTCTCGAAAGTAAATCCATACATCCCCCCTGCTACTCGGCCCCCCCCCTCCTCCTCACTTCATACACCACACATCGTACCTTCCCATTGACCCGTGATCGTATTTCCGAAAAAACTCCGGCTGCCAGTGAGGCTGCCAGTGAGGCTGCTTTATAAACTGACTCCAGAACCACTTCACAACTCTCGCATCACACATCGCACATCGCACATCACACATCACACATCGCACATCGCACATCACACATCAGACATCAGACATCACACATCAGACAAGACACATTACACATCATAAACTATACATCTCACATCATACATACCTTCCCATTGACCGTAATTGTATCTCCAAAGAACTCCGGCTGCCAGTGTGGGTGCTCCTTCGGAACAACCCCGTCCGTCGGATAGTTCACCGACCCGTTTGGAAAGAACATCCGATCCGCAATTGCCAATGGCATGAAGAACGGCCCGCCCGGCAGCGGCGCCCACTTGTTGATCTCCCTCTCCTCCCCTTTCGGATCCACTATAACGTACAAGCCCGCCATCCCCGCCATGACGTTTATCCTCGTTATAGCAATGGCGTGGTCATGGTACCAGACAATAGAGGGTCGCTGGTTGTTGTGGTAGTGGTACAGCCGTGTGGAGAACTTAGGTCCTTTCTCCCCGAATTGGGTGAACCAGGCTTGTGGGTGTCCATCGTATATGCTGTGCGTCTCACCCCCATGCCTATGTGGGACTGAAATGAAACAAGGGAGGCAGGGGTGGGAAAAAGGGACGATTGTGCAAGGCTGGCGTCGCTGCTTGTTGTGGTAGTGGTAGAGCTGGGTTTGAGGCGCCTCAAAAGTACCACACGATAGAGGGTCGCTGGTTGTTGTGGTAGTGGTACAGTTGTGTGGAGAACTTAGGTCCTTTCTCGCCAAACTGTGGGTGCCCATCGTATATGCTGTGCGTCTCACCCCCATGCCTATGTGGGACTGAAATGAAGGAGGGAGGGGAGGGGGAAAGGGAGGAGTGTACAAGGGTGCCCTTTCAAACCCCACCAACTGAGTGGACCAGGCCTGTGGGTTTCCGTCAAGAAAGCTGTGAGTCTCACCCCCTTGCCGATGGGGGACTGAAACAAGGGATGCAGAGGGGAAGGGAAATGGGGGGGAAGAAGGGAAGATGAGAATACGAGCTTGGTTTTTCAAATTTCCCTTTACTTCGAGAACCTTCAGCATGGCATGGCAAGGCATGGAATGGCATTGTGTGTCCATCCCATGGCATGGCACGGGATGGCACGGCATGACATGGCATGGCATGACATGGCACGGCATGGCATGGCACGGCATGGCATGGCACGGCATGGCATGGCATGGCATGGCATGGCATGGCACGGCATGGCATGGTAGTGAGTATGTACCGATGGGCACGCCCCCCTTCTTGGGCATGGGGATCATAAGTGTGTCGTCCAGCTGCATGCTGTGAGGGGTGCATGGCATGGCATGGGATGGCATGGCATGGGATGGTGTGGCATAACATGACAGGCATGGCACGGCATGGCATGGCATGGCATGGCATGGCATAGCACAGCATGGCATGGCATGGCATGGCACGCCACGATAGTGAGAGTATGTACCACGCCCCCCTTCTTGGGCATGGGGATCATAAGCGTGTCATCCAGCTGCATGCTGTGAGGGGTGTATGGCATGGCATGGCATGGCATGGCGTGGCATGGCATGGCATAGCATGGCATGGGATGGGAAGGCATGGCATGGGATGGCATGGCATGGGATGGCATGGCATGGCATGGGATGGCATGGCATGGCATGGCATGGCATGGCATGGCATGGCATGGGATGGCATGGCAAGGCATGGTATGGTATGGCATGGCATGGTAGAAAGAGAACATACCGATGGGCACGCCGCCGTGCTTGGGCATGGGGATGATGAGTGTGTCGTCCAGCTGAATGCTGTGAGGGATGCTTGGCATGGCATTGTGTCCCAAGGCACGGCATGGCATGACAGAAAGAGCATGCACATACCGATGGGCACGCCGCCGTGCTTGGGCATGGGGATCATGAGTGTGTCGTCCAGCTGAATCATGTGCTTCCTGTCCGTGATGCGGTTCGACCAAAAGATCTGACCCAGGGGGTACGTGAGGGAGGGGGGAGGGTAGGGTTGGGGGGGACGAAGGGAGAAGGGAAAGGGTGGATCTGGATCAGAAGTGTGTTGTTCAGCTGAATCATGTGCTTCCTGTCCGTGATGCGGTTCGACCAAAAGTCCTGGCCAGATAGTGTGGAAGAGGTAAAGAGAGAAGGGAGGGGTTGTGGAGAAATTGGAGGAGGGAAGGAGGGGGGAGGAGGTAAGGTGGAGATGGAGGGGGAAGGTGGGAGAAAGGGAGTGTGACAACGGGGATCAAAGGGGACGTATGAGTAGTATGCAAGAGAGGTTGCAGACAGAGGGAATGTATGTATGGGTGGTACTCTAATCCAGGCGACATGGAGCACGGTCGGTCACATTGCTAAATCCGTTTGCACCGAACCTCACCGCACACAGCTATACAGCGAGGGAAAAATGGTACTGAGGGCGCTCCTGGGTGTCTTTGTTTTGAGTCGACTCAAAACTAGAGTCGAATCAAACTAGGCTCAAACTGGGTCGACTCAAAACCACACACAGCTATACAGCGAGGGGAAAATGGTGCTCAGGGAAGCTCCCGGGTGTCTTTGCCCTTGTGCGCCAGGATGATGGGGCCACGTGAAAAAACCAGAATAAGGGACGACAACCCAGTGGACAAGAGCTCGTTCAGGCCCCCACCTGGGTGTCTTTGCCCTTGTGCGCCAGGATGATGGGGCCGGGGAATGCGGCGGAGCACGTGTTGACCTTTGGACAGACTCACAAGTAACCTCAGCACAGCACAGCACAGCAAAGTCAGGCTTCAGCCCCCTACCTGGGTGTCTTTGCCCTTGTGCGCCAGGATGGTGGGGCCGGGGAACGCGGCGGTGCGCTGGTTGAGCCCGTACGCGTACTGCTTTGTGGGCGGCAGGTCCCGATGGAACTTCTGTCAGGGGGGGGGAAAGGGACGGGGGATGGGGGATGGGGACGGAGGGAGGGAGTTAGGGAAGTGTGGTGCGTTGGTTGGTTCAGCCCGTACCCGTACTGCTTGGTGGGCATCAGGTCCCGATGGAGCTTCTGTTAGGTCGGGAAGGGGGAATGGGGAAGGGAATGGGTTGTGGGGGACGCGGCGGTGCGCTGGTTGAGCCCGTACGCGTACTGCTTGGTGGGCGGCAGGTCCTGGTGGAACTTCTGTGAAGGGGTGGGAAGGGGAGGGGGAAGGGGAAAGGGGGAGTTGGAGAAGTATGGTTGAAAGGGGTCCCCGCTGGGGCGGAGGCGGTATGGAGGAAGAGGGGGAGAAAGGGGAAGGTGCGGGGGAGGCGGAGTGGGGTTGGGAGGAGGGGAGGGTAGGGGTTTTAGGGGGGTTTCGGGGATTGATAAAAATAATCATTATGAAATCAGTCACGTTGTGCGTTGACCGTGACATAACTTCTGCGAGTGGTAAAGGAGGGAGGAGAGAATGAAGGAAGGAGCATTAGCATGTGGTGTTTAATATTAGCATTGACAAGTCTCCGTTCCATGTTATATTAGAATAGCTCTGTGTAAAGAAACTTCATGAAACGAATCAGTAGTGTTCCTTGCGCGCGGCTATACAGTTGAACTTGACATTTGATCGCAGCTGTCCAATACAACGATTGGATTCTCATCCGTAGATTCCGTTGCAACACTTTTACGAGCCTTCACATCGGGAAATCGGCTCCATCTCATCTCGTGCTGCAGGCAGGACGTGTACGGGTGAGGCTTTGTTTTGGTCAACCCAGAATATTGGTCGTCGAACCTCTAGGGTTAGGCGACATCGTTCTTCGCTTCGACTTCCTCAGCAGCAACGGCAGAGCGCAAATTGCTCAGTGCCGAGGCCGGAGGTCGTCTACAATCCACCCCACATTGGGCGTGTTTAATCCGGGTCGCCTCTCCTGCGGCAGTCGTAGATGTTGCATAGGCGTCGCTAGAGCTGGAAGGCTATCGTCGTATGAAGTCAATTTGGAAATTACCGCGTAGATCTGAAAGTCCGAATCGCGCATGGCACATCCCAAAGACCGAGTGCCGCCTGGCAGGTCTGAAAGACCGAATCGCGGAAAATATGGATAACGAGTCGCGCTTGTAAAAATCCGAAAGACCGAGTGGCAACTGCTAGATCTGAAGGACCGAGTCGCGGTAGAAGGTCCGAACGATTGTGTCGCGTTTGGTAGATCTGGAAAAGCGAGTCGCGCCTGGTAGATTGAATCATTACCCAGGGTGCCAACGAGTCGCACCTGGTAAATCTGGAAAACGCCGATGCGAACGAGCTTCCCGTCGCTCGTGTCGACGGCGACTCGCATGGTGGTCGCCAGGTCGTCGACGAACTTGCATAGTGCGCGCGCGGGGAAGGCGTTGCGGCACTTAGGGCCCGCCGCTGGCGTCCCCAACGCTCCCGCGTTCCTGCCAGCAACATCCACGGCTGCGGGGGCATACGTGCGCCATGAAGAGGGTTGAGGCGAGCGGCGGGGATGGGTTGGTCACCAGCACAGTGCGCGCAGTGCGCGCGGAAGGGATTGAGAAGGGGGGATGGGGGAGGGGTAAGGAGGGAACAATATGTGCGCTAATCAGGAAGAACCGCCACAGCTGGTGCGGACGGCGGACGGCGTCCATATCGCTCCCGCGCTCCTGCCTGCAGCAGCTGGTCAGCGGGACAGCGGGTAGTATATGGGGACGACTCCGACTGGAAGGGAGGGAAAAAGGGGGAGGGGTATATGGGGAGCAGTGTTACAGGGACACGGATCGCTATGCAGGGTCCAGCTGATGGAACATTCTCATTGCGGAATTTATACGCCCCATGAGGTAGAGGTTTACCAGAGACATGGACGACCGCGCGCGGGGCGAAGGCGGCGACGAGAAGCAACCCCACACAGAGACGCACGGCCATCGCCATGCTTCGAGTCATTGGGCGCTTCAAAGCGCAAGTTTCGGCGAGCGCTTGCGAAATGAGCGCGCCGCGTGTGGCGGCGGGGCGTCGGGCTCCCCTAGCGACTCGCTGGAAAGGGGAATGTTCCTACAGCCTCCAGGAATCTCTGCGGCGGTAGTACAACGCGTCCACCGGAGGATGCGACAATGCAGTGAGCCGTAGCGAGCCGCGACGCGCGCAATCGGCGGAATGGATTCAGGCGAGCACCCGACGATTACGCCGACGCGAATGATTCCGGATACGGTCGACCTTTGCTACCAGGCCTGCTGATAGTAGTTGGGGGTAAGACCGTCTGACGACGAAGTATGACGGCTTCGCTAGAAGAAGAGTGACGGGGATGAACAATAACCCAGCAAACCCTACGAGGTCTAGAGAAGCATGCTGTGCGCGCTAGGATCTGTGGAGCGAGCTAGGTGTCTAGGGAGGAGAGGCGCCAAGGGCAGTGCTCTGCCAAATAGCTCACGTGGAAGCACAGGATGGAAACAAGGTTTCGAGTGACTCGTCGTGTTCAGGGGCGCTGAGGCAACAGATTTCGCACGAAATGGGTTAGCGCGATTTGGCCGAAGGGCGGCCGTGACGAGGCAGAACGATCACTTGGCTGTCGTGTCGTCGAGTTGAGAGACTCGACATTCCAAAACGATTGGTCAACATTTCTTTGCGGCGTCGTGTCGAAGCCAGGATGGAGCTGTGCGGGCGGCTGAGATTGAGAGAAAACTGCACCGTAGAGAACATCCGACAAAAACTCCATGGTGACAGGGTTGGTGGAGAGAGGGAATTGGGACATCAGATGTCGGAGACGTTTTTACCGCTAAATTGGACCGTCTTGCCCGTGAGCTTGGTTTGAGATCTGCACCCCTTTTACATAAGTGAGTTTGGATCCCAGACTAAACTCTAGTTTTGACTTCCAGATTCTCAATCTTAGTCAGGAAACCGCATACACCGCCACGATGCTGGCCGTGAGGTATTTGAAGATAGAAATTGATACGTACTTGGAAGACGTGGAAAGGCGAATCGGTTGCTGTCAGAGTTTCACGCGCTGAAAGCATAGCTGGGGGAATGCACCAACAGGGGCTGCGTTTGAGAGTTTGGTAGGGGTGGACCGGGCTGTCGATTCACAGATATGTGTCCGTTACCCTGAGAACTCGGGGCTAGTAGCTTCTCAGCTCATATATTTTCAGGATTCTTAACGGACAGTTTTGGAAACTTGCCTAAATTCTGCGCGCATTCTCCTCCCTCCCCCCCCCCCCCCTCCCCCCTTCTTCTTGACCTTGGACTCTTAACGACGACCCGAACCCCCACCCCCCACGCCCCCCCCCTCCAAAAAAAAAAACATACCTCCGTCTCCCCAGCGTGCTCTGCTCTTTTTTAGTAGATATCTAGATAATTTAGGTTTTTGAGGCATGTGTTCAGGACAGGAATCAAAATGATATGAAATTAAGGGCCGGTTCGGGATACTCCCCGGATATTTCATGGCCTGTTTCGGGTCACCTTAGCCTCGTAAGGGCTGGGCCCGGACCAATCGACAGCCCTGGATGGAACATGCTCTATGTGGTACGAGAAGGTGAACGACACACTGGGGCTGAATTTGCTTCGCAAAATTTGGAATTTCTCCAAAAGGGTCGTCATGTCGTGTCGTGTCTTGTAGTCGTGTCGTCGCCACTCTAATCCTTCAAGACCAAACGCGAACCGCGAAGTGCGTGTGTGAGCCGCGCAAGCTACCCAATCACGCAAGCTGAAGCGACTGGGTGGTTGAAGGCGTGTGAGCGACATGAATTCTGTCGCCTGGAAGGAATGTGCTTCGCATTCTGCCACGTGTAAAACACCCGACTATTTAACGATTAATCTGCATCCAGCTCGTCTCTATGGCGAAGAAACTCCAGTTGCAACATGTTGAAGGCGAGCGGCTGGCGCCGCCAGCGGCGCGAGGTAGGGGCGCTCAGCCGCTTCTAGGTAGGGGCGCTCAGCCGCTTCTTCTGTACAGTTCTGTACAGTAGGGCAGGAATGAGCAGCAGTGGGCATTTGTGTTTTGTTTCACCTGCCCTCCTGACAAACATTTATGTAGCACTGTACAGTACACCCAACAGATATTGCAGAACAGCGTCATCCTGAATCCAGACCTGACTCCTGCAGCATTCAATGGCAACCGAAATGCGGCCCACGTGTGCCATCGTCGGCACCGCCACGCCACAGTGCCTCGCAACTGACTTCGAGGTTTGGATTTGTGTTGATCAAAACACGGAAATGCATTGTTGTAAGGAAAATTCCTTTTCCTTACTTCGCGTCCCCGCTCAGCGCGTACACCACTGTAGCACCACAGTCAGCACCGTTACCACTCGCAACCCTCGCATCGACAATCCTCCCGCCACCTTCGCACGTCGCACCCCGACCTCACGGCTCGGCGGGTAACCCGCGCTCCGGGCCTCCGCTTCGACATTTCCCCAAACCTCAGTCCCAGGCCCGACGCGCGACAACGACAGTCCATTACCATTACCACTGTAGTTTCGCTATATATTCTTCGCGCATGCCTTCGCTCATTGGATAGTGCAATTCTAGCTCGATCACTCAATTGCACTCGTAACAATTGTGAAAGCATGAATTACTGAATTTTACTTGCTTATGCACCAAACATCCCTCATGAGTGCAACTAAATCTTGTCTTGGGTATATGCCTCCGTCAGTAATTTGACATCTCTTTACGTCGCACCTGTTTTACAGCGAACGACGAGCAAGTGATTATGGCTTGCATCCTCCTACACAAGATCCAGAACCCCCTCCAATACATCAGCTACTGCGAGTACGGAACAGTTTCACTTAAATACCCTATTGACTGACACATGTTTGGTGTTCTGTTCTGAATCGGCATTGAGAAATGGAGTTGCACTAGTCACAGGTAAGTAGAGAAAAAGGTATATGAATTCATGGGTACCGGTAAAAACACAGTTGCTTCAAGTTGTTGGTACCACCACCACCCAACACTGAAATTTTGCCAGCAGCGTGCACAACCAAGTCACGGTCTGAGACAGAATGGGAGACTGGGTGTTGTTGCTGGCCCTATAAGTCTGTTCTGCACTGCACTGCTCTGCACCGCTTGCTACTCCACAGGTGTTGCCAATACAGATGCTATGGTTTCGCCAAAGCCGACGCCAGCCGAGCCAGACCCAAGCTCCCCGAGCCTCCCGCTGCGGCTCGGCGGCGGTAGAGCCGAAGCACAACAGCGCTGGCAACCAGGGGGCAGGCGACAGCAAGGGCGAGATAGGCCAGGTGCCATCTGGGGGAGGTTACACCTGCCCAACCGGGGGAGGCTGCAGCTGCAAAGTGGTCGGTGGAGGGTGCGTGAGAGGGGGAGGTGGGAGGGTGGTGGGGCAAGTGCAGGTGGTGGTGTGGGGGGTGGCTTGGATGCTCTTGGTTGGGGTTGTGCTGGTGATTGGCCATTGCTGGATCGGCGTCCTTAGACTGTGTGGAATGGGGGGAAGAGCCAGAACGAAATGATAAAAAACCCGGGCGGATTCAATGATAGGATACACGTAATAGCTGTGCGATGCATTGTGACGGATGGGCAACGGGAGATGCACTCACGTGAACGAGAGGGCCCCAAGAGGCATGCTGCAAGAAATGGAGATGAATCCGAAATGGGATGAGGAAGTGAAGAAGGGATGGAAAGAGCTAGCAAGCTACGGCCGTTGATCACCCACCTTGTGCTGTCGCATGGGTGCTGTTGATCACCCACCTTGTGCTGTCGCATGGGTGCCGTTGATCACCCACCTTGTGCTGTTGCATGGGTGCCGTTGATCACCCACCTTGTGCTGTCGCATGGGTGCCGTTGATCACCCACCTTGTGCTGTCGCATGGGTGCCATGGATCGGCGAGAGGAGAGGGGCGATTGAAGAGCTGCAAGGGATGTTGGGGAATGGAACGGGAAGGAGATGAAGAGGTGGAGCGTGTTTGAGCATATTACGAGGTGCCTGTCTATCTCAGAAGATTTTTTTTTTAAGACATCCCAGAACTAGACTAGAGGGGATGAAGAGGTGAACAATTTGAGGAGTGTATGCTTGGGGTGCCTGTGTAGTTCAGAAGAATGTTGTGAGGAGTGGGATGAAGAGGAAATGGTTAAGAGGCGAATGTTAGAGGGCATGTTGAGAGGAGCATGCTAAGGGGTGATTTTTCTTAGGTGGTGTCCATGTGTTCTGGGATGGTCATGTTCTGGATGGTGTCCATGTGTTCTGGGATGGTGTCCATGTGTTCTGGGATGGTGTCCATGTGTTCTGGGATGGTGTCCATGTGTTCTGGGATGGTGTCCATGTGTTCTGGGATGGTGTCCATGTGTTCTGGGATGGTGTCCATGTGTTCTGGGATGGTGTCCATGTGTTCTGGGATGGTGTCCATGTGTTCTGGGATGGTGTCCATGTGTTCTGGGATGGTGTCCATGTGTTCTGGGATGGTGTCCATGTGTTCTGGGATGGTGTTGTGTTCGGCTGACTGGAATCAACACAAGGGAGAGCGGATCTAGCTTTGCTTCGGAATATGCAAAAGCAGGTCAGAGGCAGAAGCCATAATGGATAGGAGAAGGAACAATGAGTGAGCAAGGGAACGGAAGGGGCGTGGGAAGAGGGAGAGAGAAAGAGGTGAAGGAGGGCGAAAGGATGAAGGGCAGCTCACCTGGTGGTGATGATTCGATGCACCGCTGAATCTGCCACACACCATGAGAACAGCCGTGGGAGGTGGGTGATGAGAGGAAGTGAGTGAGACAAGGCGGAGAGATTGGGTGCAGGAGATGCAAAAAGTATGAAGGTTTGAAATTAGACAGGATTCAACGAAACATGAAACCACCATGTCACACTCCCCTCCCACCATACCTTGCTCATCCCAACCACCCCTTCCCCCATCCCGCCATACCTTGCTCATAAGCTCGTGGACCACCACTGCTGACCATACCCATGTCCACCATACCCATACCCGTGTCCACCATACCCATACCCATGAACCTTGCCCATCTCGCTCACCCCTCCAACACCACCCATACCTTGCTCAGTCACACACACATCCTTCAACCATCCCGCCATACCTTGCTCATGAGTTCGCGCACCACCACAGCAGCCACTCTCAGCTGCTCCTCACTCTCAAACCGCAACTGCACCACCGCTGCCCCCGCCCCTCCTCCTCTTCCTGCTCCCCCTGCTTCCCCCGCTGCTCCCGCCACTCCCCCCACTCCTCGCTTCTCCACTCCTCTCCCACCGAAATCCTCTACATTGCCGATAGTAGACCCGGTTTTCCCTGTCCCAGATACGACCTCCCCCAGGTCGTCCTCCCCACACATGGCGCCTGCAGGCCCCATCTCCCACTCGTCCTCGCCGCCCCCCTCTCCCACTGCGCTCCCCACCTCCCCCTCCTTCTCCTCATCCTCGTCAATAACAGACTCTCTACCGTCTATAGTCCCTGCCAGCACTGACATGCTTACAGTGCTCATCCCCTCCTCCTCATCCTCCTCCTCCTCTTCCTCCCTTTCTCCCTCCCCCTCTCCCACCTCTCCCCTCCCCCTTTCGTCTTTCCCCACTAGCCCACCACCAGACGATCCCACCCACTGAACCTTCCCCCGTCCTTCCCCCCTCTCTGCTTCCCTTCCCCCACCTCCGCCCCTCTCTCCTCCAGCAATCTTCCCTGTTCCTTCCACACACCCACTCTCTCCTGCTACCCTTCCTTCCATCCCACCATTACACACAGAACCATTAGTAGCAGCGGTAGCAGCGGCAGCAGCAGCCGCAGCAACAGCAGCGGCATTATCAGCAGCAACACTCCCAGCCTTTCCACGCTCCTCTGCCTCCTCCCCTTCGATGCTAAACACCCCTATCGGCCCGCCACGCTTGCCGCCCCTGCCAGTCAGGCTCGGCGCGCCGAGCCTCTCCTCCCGAGCCTCCTCCTCCGAGATGTTCCCGAGGGAAGAAGGGGTTCGACGACGGGCCAGGGAGGTTTGGGAGGGGGAGAGAGGCGAGGAGGAGGAGGGGGGAGGGAGGGTACCGAGAGCAGCGACAGAGCGGAAGGAGGGGGTGGAGGTGAGGAAGGGGGTGGGTTCCATGAAGTGAGGGTGCGGGTGAGGAGGGGGGTTGGCTGCTGTTGAGGAGACGGGAGGGGCCTGTGGTGACAGCAACAAGGGTGGGAGAAAGAGAGCAGAAGAGAGGAATAATGAAAAAGGGGACAAGGGAGGGGTCCATGATGTGAGGTGAGGGTGCGGGTGAGGGGGTAGGGTGGTTCCTGTTGAGGAGACAGGAAGAGCCTGTGGTGGCACAGGGGTGGGAGGAGGAGAGCAGAGGGGAGAATGAACGAGGACGGGGACACGGGGGAAGGGTTGACGATGTGAGGGTGGGGGTGAGGGGAGAGGGTGGTTCCTATTGAAGAGACGGGAAGGGCCTGTGGGTGGCGGGCACAGGGGTGGGAAAAAGAGGCAGACGGTGGGAGGATAAGAACAGGCGTGCGGAAGAAGGTTGTACAAGTGGGAAAGAATGAGAAAGGGCATCTTTTCGAGTCAAATAGAAAAAAGCAGAGGGATGGGAGGAAAAGCATAAGGGTGGGGAGGAAGAGAGCATAGTTGGAAAAGCATGAGAGGGGGGAAAGGGGAAATGTCCTGATATGGGGATGGTTTTGAGTCGTTAAGAAAAAGGAACGGGAAAGGGGAGGGTTCTATGATATGGGCAAAGGCGTGAGAGGGAGGGAAGGGATGGGTGGAGGAATAAGTGGAAGGAAGTGTGAAAGGGTGTAATGAGGCAAGGCACGCTCATGTGTGAAAGGGTGTAATGAGGCAAGGCACGCTCATGTGTGAAAGGGTGTAATGAGGCAAGACACGCTCTTGTGTGAAAGGGTGTAATGAGGCAAGACACGCTCTTGTGTGAAAGGGTGTAATGAGGCAAGACACGCTCTTGTGTGAAAGGGTGTAATGAGGCAAGACACGCTCTTGTGTGAAAGGGTGTAATAAGGCAAGACACGCTCATGTGTGAAAGGGTGTAATGAGGCAAGACACGCTCTTGTGTGAAAGCATGTGAGGCAAGATACTACTGCAACACTCACATGGCCCACTGTCTCCCCTGCCTTGCGTGCATCCACCACAGCTTGTAAGAAGTCTATTGATACCTGCACCCACCTGGGGGTGAGGAGAGGGGAGGAGGGGGCGACAAGGGAGGAAAGGCAAAAAGGGGAGGAAGAAGAGATGTGACTCTTATGTGCGCATAAGTGTGAACTCCCATCTCACCACCTGGCTTGCATGCATCCACCAGAGCCTGTAGGAAGCCCTTTGACACCTGCACGCACAGGGCGAAGGGAAGGAGTGAGTTGAGGGAGGGAGTGAGATGAAGGAGGGAGTGAGATGAGAGAGGGAGTGAGAGGAGCGGGGGAATGTGAACTCCATATCACCACCTGCCTTGCGGTTATCCAGCACGGCTTGTAGGAAAATCCAAGGAGACATGCATCCACCTGGGGAAGGGAGGAGCCGGGGAGGGAGGGCAACAAGGAGAGCGAGGAGAGATGGATGGAGATGAGTCGATACGTTGCGTGTTGAGGAGAGATGGATGGAGATGAGTCGATACGTTGCGTGTTGAGGAGAGATGGATGGAGATGAGTCGATACGTTGCGTGTGAGGAGAGGAAAGGAGGAAGTGATTTATTGAGGAAGCCCAACAAGCGGAGGAGGAAGGGATGAAGGGTAAGGGGTGGGTGGGAGAGAATATGTGCGTCCACCATACCGACCACACACACACACCCACAACACACATGCACACCATCCACCATATGCTGCTGGCAGTGAGGCCCTGCAGGTACGCCAGATGGACCCCGTGGTGTGACACTGCCAGCACCCAAGCCAACCTTTAAGGACCAACTAATCCGGCCAAGGCTGGAAACTCAACTGGAAACGCCCACCACACACCCTCCACACGACACACCCTCCACACGACACACCCTCCACACGACACACCCTCCACACGACACACCCTCCACACAACACACCCTCCACAGACCCTCCACACACCCTCCACACACCCTCCACACGCCCAACACGCCCACACACCACACACCACACACCACACACACTGACACAAGCACAGCACGCACACCACCCACCATATGCTGCTGGCAGTGAGCCCCTGCAGGTACGCCAGATGCCCTCCGTGGTGTGACACAGCCAACACCACGTTTGGGTTGGCCCTGCGGAGTATGAGGGGGAAGGGAAGGGAGAGATAGGACCAAGAAGCAATGAATTCGGAGAGAACAGGGGAGCGGTAAGACAGAGGGTACGCCAGATGGCCCCCGTGGTGAGACACTGCATTTTGAGGCGCCTCAAAACAGGGGAGCGGTTAAGTGCATTTAACAGAGGACAGAGGGTACGCCAGATGGCCCCCGTGGTGAGACACTGCATTTTGAGGCGCCTCAAAACAGGGGAGCGGTTAAGTGCATTTAACAGAGGACAGAGGGTACGCCAGATGGCCCCCGTGGTGAGACACTGCATTTTGAGGCGCCTCAAAACAGGGGAGCGGTTAAGTGCATTTAACAGAGGACAGAGGGTACGGCAGATGGCCCCCGTGGTGAGACACTGCATTTTGAGGCGCCTCAAAACAGGGGAGCGGTTAAGTGCATTTAACAGAGGACAGAGGGTACGCCAGATGGCCCCCGTGGTGAGACACTGCATTTTGAGGCGCCTCAAAACAGGGGAGCGGTTAAGTGCATTTAACAGAGGACAGAGGGTACGGCAGATGGCCCCCGTGGTGAGAGGTACCACATGTTGCACCTCGTTTGGGTTGGCTCTGAGGACAGGAGGGGGAGAGACAGGAACAGACTCAGCAGTGGTGTGTTTTCGTCTCTTAAAACATCACCGGGAGAGGCTCTGACAGTCAAAGGAATTGAGGCAAAGTTTGACTGCACACTTCTCTTCCGGCACACACACATGCCCTTACCCCAGAACCTCCCACTCACTTGGCCTCGTCCCACTCACTTGGCCTCGTCCCACGGAATGGCCTCCCGGGTGCAGATGGGGTCATCCAGTGCGCTCACTGCCAGCAGCGGCACCGCCACCTCTGGAAGAAATTGAGCCGAGCCGCAGCGACGGTAGTATGTGTCTACGGTCTGAAGAGGGGGGGAAACAAAGGGAAGGGGGGGAAGGGAAGGGGCAAAAGTAGGGGCGAGAAGAGGGGGGCAGTGGACAGCCAGCAGCGGCACTGCCATTGCAGGGAGGAACTAGCAGAACCAGTTGAGGCAGGAACTGAGGACAGCTGCAGCAACGGGGATCAGAAGAGCATGATGAAATTGAACAAGACGTCACCAGGGTGCAATCAGGGTTCATGACAGCACGGGGAGTGGACAGAGTGCAATCAGGCTGAAATACATGACGCACATACATGACGTGCTTACATGACGTGCTTACATGACGTGCTTACATGACGTGCTTACATGACGTGCCTACATGACCACAAGGCATGCCATGAGAGCACAGAGCAGCATGGCAGTACCTCATAGTTGCTGACGATGCGAGTTTTGAGGCGCCTCAGAAGATTTTGGAGACGATTTTTGAGGCGCCTAAAATTTTTTTGAGGCGCCTAAAGAATCGCAGCATGGCAGTACCTCGTAGTTGCTGACAATGCGAGTTATGCGGTCGTCAAACTGGCGGATGGTGCGCGCCTGAATGAGTTTGCTTGCGGGGATGGTGGTGAGAGGGCCAAGACAGAGAAAGGAGCGCGGAATGATGTGAGAGGATGGCTCGGAGCAGGAGAAAGGGGAAGAATGGCACAGCGGATTCTGCAGTTGCTGAGAGTGCCAAAGGTTGAAACGAAATGATAAGCTGGTGATCAGCACACACACGAGATGAACCTATTGCGCTGCACATGCACTAACATTCCAGCCAGCACATGCCGCCCACATAGCACATGCCGCCCAGCACATGCCGCCCAGCACATGCCGCCCAGCACATGCCGCCCACATAGCACATGCCACCCAGCCCATGCCACCCCGCACACGCATGTTGCAGAGAACATGCCGCCCACCCACCTTCATGACGTGCTGCACGTCCACGAGGTGCTGAAAGCTGTCCTTGTGACTGCGAGGGGAGAGAGGAGAGGTGAAAGAGAGTGGAGGAGGAGGGCGGGGGGGAGAAAATGACCGAGAACCAAGCAAAGGCAAGACAAAAAGAGTGCAGAGGAGAGAGGAGGAGGGTGGGGGATGAGGAGGAAAGCAATCAAGGGGGACGAGTGAGCGGGAAAAGAATGCAGCACAGCCGCAGTTTCAGACATGACAGTAGTAATTTGCATCACATGCACTTTCAGAGATTCTCACACCACAACTCAACCCGTCCCATGGCATCCCATGCCACCCCATGCCCTCCCGTGCTATCCCATACCATCCCATGGCATCTCATGCTATCCCATGGCATCTCATGCTATCCCATGGCATCTCATGCTATCCCATGGCATCTCATGTCACTCCATCTTATCCCATGACATGTAGCCGTTGGCTCACAGCTTGGCCATGCCATGCCATGCCATGCCATGCCATGCCATGCCATGGCATCATCACAAGGGTTTCGTCTCACAGCTTGGCAAAGTCTCTGAGGCCCGTGACCATGGCAGTGTTGTACACTCGCTGCCTTGTCCGCCGATTCATCCATCGATCACAGATCTGGGCGAAAGGGTGGGCGGGAGAGAGAGGGGGAGAGAGGGCGAGAGAGGTGGGGAGAGGGGGAGAGAGGGGGAGAGGGGGAGAGATGGGAACAGAAGGGGCATCACGCACTGGTTTAGGGTTCAGGGCTAAACAATTGAGAGCGCAGGGCGCAGTGGGTAAGGGAGTGGGGGGGGAAAGGAAGTGGGGAGTTAAAATGGGCATGATGTTGCTTCTGAGCCGAAATGTGTGCGAAATGCGAATGGCGCTGTTGCTGGCAGTTGAATGCGCACTCGCAAAACGTAAGTAACTCCATTATGTGTGAAAAGATATATTAATTGCAGCCCATCCACGCCACACCAGTGCCGCCCATCCACGCCACACCGGTGCCGCCCATCCACGCCACACCAGTGCCTCCCATCCACGCCACACCAGTGCCTCCCATCCACGCCACACCAGTGCCTCCCATCCACGCCACACCAGTGCCTCCCATCCACGCCACACCAGTGCCTCCCATCCACGCCACACCAGTGCCTCCCATCCACGCCACACCAGTGCCGCCCATCCACGCCACACCAGTGCCGCCCATCCACGCCACACCAGTGCCGCCCATCCACGCCATGTGTAGAGTGGACCAAGAGCGGACCAGTGAGAGCATACCAGCACGGCACATGGTGGGACAAGGCGAGCCCATACCAGCAGGTCCCAGGGATTGCCGATGGAGACAGCAGCTTGGATGGGCCCCGTCGCACCCTCCTCCCCTAGGTACTTCACCTGCAGTAGAGGGGGAACGGGGGGGAAGAGACCAGAAGAAGGGGGGGAGAAGGAAAGCAGGGAGGGCAGGACAGCAGGGAGGGCAGGACAGCAGGGAGGGCAGGACAGCAGGGAGGGGAGCACAGATGGAGACAACAGCTTGGATGGGCCCCGAGGCACCCTCCTCCCCCAGGTACTTCACCTGCAGTAGAGGAGTGTCTGGACGGGCAGGCAGGGCGGATGGGAGGTCGCGGGGATGAGGGTAACACATTCCACGATGCCTCACCACAAGTCTTCTTAGCTCCCAGCGATGTGCCAATGGCATAGAGGGGCGCTAGCTGGTAGTCTTTTGAGAATTCTCAAAAATGACGTGCCGATGGCATAGAGGGGCGCTAGCGGGTAATCTTTTGAGCATTCTCAAGAGTGACGTGCCAATGGCATAGAGGGGCGCTAGCGGGTAATCTTCCTGCACAAGCCTGATGAGTCGCCCCCCCCCTCTCTCCCCCCCCCACCACACCAGCATGCTTCAAGGCTGCCCATCTATCTTCAAGGCTGCCCATCTATCTTCAAGGCTGCCCATCTATCTTCAAGGCTGCCCATCTATCTTCAAGGCTGCCCATCTATCTTCAAGGCTGCCCATCTATCTTCAAGGCTGCCCATCTATCGTCAAGTCATTCGGTGAATCTCCCTCACTCACCAGGATGTTGACTCCCAGCGACGTGCCGATGGCATAGAGGGACACGCGGCGTGGGGTGGGGGGAGGTAGTCCTTGTACTCAAGGCCGATGAGTGAGTAAGTCCCTCCCACCACACCTGTATCGTTCAAGCCTGTCCATCCATTCTACTTGTCCTATGAATGCCCCACCAGGATGTTGGCTCCAAGGGATGAGCCGATGGCATAGAGGGGCGCGCGGGGTAGGGGTAGTCCTGCTGCACCAGGCCGGTGAGTGAATAAGCCCCTCCCACCTTCCCACCCGCCCACTACACCTGAAGCTGTCTCACCAGGATGTTGGCTCCAAGGGACGTGCCGATGGCATAGAGGGGCGCGTGGGGGTAATCTTGTTGCACCAGGCTGATGACAAAGCGCAGGTCCGTGGTCCACCCCGCATTGTAGAAGCGGTTTGACTGGGAGTAGGTGGGGAAAGGGCGGGGAGAGAGTGGGGGCAGGGGCGGGGAAGGGAGATATAGAGGTGACAGAGCGCAGGTCCGTGGTCCACCCCGCATTGTGGACACAGCGGGAGGCTGTGGGGAGCGGGCGGGGAGGGGTGGCAAGGGGGTAGGGGAGGGGAAATGAGGCAGAGGGGTGGCAAAGGGGTAGGGGAGGGGAAATGAGGCAGAGGGGTGGCAAGGGGGTAGGGAGGGGAAATGAGGCAGAGGGGTGGCAAGGGGGTAGGGAGGGGAAATGAGGCTGTTGGGGAGCGGGAAGCTGTGGGGAGCGGGCGACACTGCACTGCACTGCACTGCACTGCACTGCACTGCACTGCACGAACTAGTCAGCAGAGGGGAGGGCTGGCTCCGCGACGCTGCTTCATGTGGATGGATCTATGTGGATGGATCTATGTGGATGGATCTATTTGGATGGATCTATGTGGATGGATCTATGTGGATGGATCTATGTGGATGGATCTATGTGGAAGGATCCATGTGGATGGATCTATGTGGATGGATCTATGTGGATGGATATATGTGGATGGATCTATGTGGATGGATCTATGTGGATGGATCTATGTGGATGGATCTATGTGGATGGATCTATGTGGATGGATCTATGTGGATGGATCTATGTGGATGGATCAATGTGGTTGGATCTATGTGGATGGATCTATGTGGATGGATCTACGTGGATGGATCTATGTGGATGGATCTACGTGGATGGATCAATGGCACAGCTGATTCAATAGAAGAATCGTTTGACTGTAACCCAGCGTGACTGTAAGCAGTAAATAAGGTGTTGTGTGAGCTCACAGTGATGGTGACGTCCCCCAGGCCTCGATGGTTGGGCACCAGCGCTCGCCACCCTTTTGAGAATTCTCTAAGGCGAATCCAGAGTAGGGGTTACGTACTAACTAAGCAGTGCTGCGTTGACTTTTGAGGCGCCTCAAAACTCAAAAAAATTTGAGGCGCCTCAAAACTCACAAAAAATTGAGGCGCCTCAAAACTAAAAAAATTTGAGGCGCCTCAAAAGGTGAATTCAGAGTAGGGGTTACGTACCAACTAAGCAGTGCTGCGTTGCTTGAGCTCACTCACAGTGATGGTGGTAATGCATTCCCAGCCCTCGATGGTTGGGCACTGGAAAGCACAGTGGCGTGTGAGCACTGAGCACTATGCGTCATCTCATGACTGTAAGAAGTGGTTACAGTGGTTACAGTGTTAAGCTATTACAACGCACAGTGATGGTGACGCCCCCCAGGCCTCGATGGTTAGGCACCAGCGCTCGCCACCCGTGCCGTGTGACGCCCGCCACACACTGCCGCATGTACTGTGCAGGGGGGTGGAGTGCACGGGAGGGAGGAGCAGGAACCCGAGGGGCGCAGAGGGGATTAAATGGGTGCAAAGGGGAGAAATGAGGAGCAGAAGGGAAGAAGGGAGCAGAGAGGAAGAAGGGAGCAGAGCGGAAGAAGGGAGCAGAGGGGAAGAAGGGAGCAGAGGGGAGCAGAGGGGAAGAAGGGAGCAGAGGGGAAGAAGGGAGCAGAGGGGAGCAGAGGGGAAGAAGGGAGCAGAGGGGAGCAGAGGGGAAGAAGGGAGCAGAGGGGAGCAGAGGGGAAGAAGGGAGCAGAGGGAAGCAGAGGGAGAGAGGGGAGGAATTGGGAGCCAATGCAACCTCCACAGCCACAGAAGTCACACAGAGTGCTGTGTGCTGTGTGCTGTGTGCTGTGTGCCGCGCAGATGCGAGCAGAGGGGCAATGAGAGGTGGAGGGTGGTGTGGGTAAAACTGGAGGTGGGAGAGGAGGGAAAACGGGTGAAGGGGGGAAGCGCAAGAGCGGATGGAGGGGGGAAGCGCAAGAGCGGATGGAGGGAGGAAGCGCAAGAGCGGATGGAGGGGGGAAGCGCAAGAGCAGGTGGTGTGTACGGGGAGGTGGGGGAAGCACGGCTTTGTGCTCGAATTACATTTTATCACCATCACCATCACCATCACCACCACCATCCCCATCACCATCACCATCCCCATCACCATCCCCATCCCCATCCCCATCCCCATGCCTATCCCATCCACACTGTCATCCCCATCCCCATCCCCATCCCCATCCCCATCCCCATCCCCATCCCCATCTCCATCCCCATCCCCACTCCCATCCCCATCCCCATCCCCATCCCCATCCCCATCCCCATCCCCACCCCCATCCCCATCCCCATCCCCATCCCCATCCCCATCCCCACCCCCGTCCCCATCCCCATCCCCATCCCCATCCCCATCCTCACCCCCATCCCCATCCCCATCCCCACCCCCATCCTCACCCCCATCCCCATCCCCATCCCCATCCCCACCCCCATCCCCATCCTCACCCCCATCCCCATCCCCATCCCCATCCCCATCCTCACCCCCATCCCCATCCTCACCCCCATTCCCCATCCCCATCCCCATCCCCACCCCCATCCCCATCCCCATCCTCACCCCCATCCCCATCCCCATCCCCACCCCCATCCTCACCCCCATCCCCATCCCCATCCCCATCCTCACCCCCATCCCCATCCTCACCCCCATTCCCCATCCCCATCCCCACCCCCACCCCAGACCATTGCACCCCAACCCACAACAACCCTCACCTTGTCACAGGACTGGCTGGTAAGCCCCAGCACCACAATCACATATACATATCATCATCCTCATCAACCCCAACCAACCCCACCCAAATCCACCCCATCCCAACCAACCCCACCCCACCCCACCCCACTCCACTCCACCTCACCCCACTTCACCCCACTCTACCCCATCCCACCCTAATGCATCCCACCCTAACCGCATCCCACCCCCTTGTGACTGAACTGGCTAGTAAGCCCTGGAACCACAATCATAGATGTATATCCCCATCATCCCCATCATCTCCAACCCACACCACCCCTCACCTTGTCATTGGACTGACTGGTAAGCCCCGGCACCACAATCACAGTCGGAACCTGCGATGTCCGCTCCGCCCTCCCTCCTGCCACCTTTGCCTCTCCATTCCCCCCCTGCCGCTCCTGCACCAGTCCCGTGGCCGCCCTTCTCCCCAACAGCGCCCACCCCTCCCAATCCCACCCCACCTCTCACCTTGTCACTGGACTGACTGGTAAGCCCCGGCACCACAACCTCAATTGGCACCAGAGACGTCCGCTCCGCCCTCCCTCCCGCCACCTTTGCCTCTCCGCCTTTCCCACTGCCCCTGCACTCTTCGCTTGGCCGCCCCTCTCCCCACCAGCGCCCACCCCACCGCACTCTATTCCACCCAACCCCACACCACCCCTCACGCACCTTGTCACTGGACTGAATGGTAAGCCCCGGCACCACACTCAAAGAATACAGATCCTCGTCCCAATATCCCCACCCCGCCCCACCCCACCCCACCCCACTCCTCTCCACCCCACCCCACCGCATCCCACCCCTCACCTTGTCACTGGACTGGCTGGTAAGCCCCGGCACCACAATCACAATCGGCACCTGTGATGAGCGCTCCGCCCGCCCTCCCGCCACCTTTGCCTCTCCGCTCCCCCCCACTCCCGCCGCTCCTGCACCCTTCCCGCCCTTCCCCCCACCGACTGCAGGAGAATGCCGGTGGCACAATGCATTACGGCAGAGGCGAACGGGAGAATGGGAGGGACGGGGAAATGGTGGGTAATGTGAAACGACGGACATGGAGGGGGATGGGGTGTGGTGGGAGGAGGATAATTTTGACTTCGACGAAGTGATTTGGAATTGACTATCACAAACCCATGCGCCCCCCATCACCCCCCTGCACCCCTTATCGCCCCCCTGCACCCCCCTGCACCCCTCACCTGCTGCTTCAGGTTCAGCCCAGTCGAGGCCGAGGGTGCCGCCATCAGGTGTGCGCACCACATGCCTGAATCGGAGGAAGACACGGGGGTAGGGGGGGGGGGTAGGAGCAGACGACTTTTGAGACGTCTCAAAAGTCGCCATCAGGTGTGCGCACCACATGCCTGAATCGGAGGGAGGTACGGGGAGGGGGAGGGGGAGGGGGCTATTAGGAGCAGACAGAAGGAATGTGGCTTGAAGGAAAAACGAGGGGAGGAGAAAGACACAGCACTTGACTAGGGATCCCATGAGCAGAGGACACCCACCTCGTGTAGGGCATATTATGAGGACTCCCACCTGATATAGGGCAATCTCTGAGGACACCCACCTGACGCAGGGCAATCTACGAGCACACCCACCTGATGTAAGGCACGTGGGGCGTGGGCGCGCAGAAGTGCACGAAGGTGGTCTGCAGGTGCGGACTGCACAGCCAGGGCGTTGGCCAGAAGCTGCAGGGGAGGAGGAAGAGGGGAGAGGAAGGGAAGTAGAGGGAATGGGGAGGGGAAGAGGGAGGTGGAGGGGCGCATGGGGTGGGGCGCATTGAGGCACACGTGGGACATACATGATCCATGGGGGCAGGTACGGGAGAGGGTGAACACACAGGTGCGGAGCGCAGAGCCAGAAGAGGGACACAGAGGGAGAGAAGAGGTCACAGGGGCGCACAGAAGCGTAACAAAGGCGCCAGATTGCAGAACGTTTTTTAGGCGCGTCAAAACAAGAGAGTTAATAGCAGACTCTGGGACTTCGAAAACGAATTTCTGGTGGCTGAACCGTAGCAACGGCACCAGATTCAGTTGAATCCGGCAATGATTGTACTAGATTTGGTTGAATCCGTAAAGGATTCGAGCTACCAGATTTCGTTGAATCTGTAAAGGATTCGAGCTACCAGATTTCGTTGAATCCGTCAAGGATTCGAGCTACCAGATTTCGTTGAATCTGTCAAGGATTCGAGCTACCAGATTCAGTCGTGACTCGGGTGCCCCATTGCCGCCTTCAGTGCGCTTTTGCACTTTCCACGCGTCGGTCTGACTGCCCGAATCCCCTCGCTTCCCAATCCGATCAACCCCTACGGCGTTACTTGACTGAATCCATACCCGAAACAAGCGAAGCCGCCATTAACTGCGGAATGCGGAAGCCGCCACTCACTGCGGAATGCGCATTCGCGCGAACACGGCGCGCGCCACGTTGGACCCGGCGTGGTGCACCACCTTCACCCTATCGCCGACGAACAAGTGGCTGACCACGTGCAGGTCGAACCAATTGTAGAGAAACGCCAGCAGCAGCGCTGCGAGCGCCGCGAGGAGCAGCCACCACACGAGCGGCGGCAGCTGCGACACGGCGAGAGCGACGGCGGCGACGGATTCGAGGAGCCACGGGAGGAAATCTGGCGAGATCGCTATTGTAGAAAAAAAGGCATCGAGCGACGGGAGTGACGTCATCTTGGGAAGGGAGTCTCGAGGTGTCAGGCGACGCGTGATCGACGGCGATTCTCCGGTGTTACGGAATGGTGAGCTCCTACAACGGCGCGCGCGCGCACGACGTAGATGTGAATGTGTGGATAGCAGAGCGTGGCGCGACGCGAGGGACGATTGCAGAGTACGGCCGTGCCGCGAGGCAAGAAAGGATCTTTGTACAAATGATGGCTTTATTATGCTACTTTCTGCTGCTATGGGGATTCTAGGTGCACGGCGAAGTGATTCGTTTGGTGGAGAGGCATGTGGAGGCGAAGCTGTGGCCCACAATTGTAGGCGAGGTGTGGCGACGAGGTATGGAATGGTGGCGAAGGATTCACGAAGAGGAGCGAAGGTTGGAACACCTCTCTACTTACAGAATGAATCTAGCACTAACTATTTTAGTGAGAATTTACCTATAGTTTATTTTATACCTTAAAATCGGATAAAATGTTATCCCTAATTATATAATTTTTAATTTCTAGTAAAAATTTAGGTCTGATAATTTTGCGGAACCATAGATTGCGTACCGGCATAGCTTTTAACAAAAGTTCCGTGTCAACAGTTGTATAACGCGCCTGACACAAAGCAATGAGGCGCGCCGTCATGGTGACCCCTAAAAGCACTGCAGTGGATGAGCCGCCGAATTCCCGCCAAATCCACTCACCCACCTCACATCCCCGAGCGTGCTGTTTTAGGAAACGTCACGAGAACGCTCTGTTATCAGAGTTTTTATCTCACTTCTTGGAGACATATTTACAAACTCTGCAACCAGTTGGACACTAGGGTCTGAAGTTTTAAGTAAGCCGCCTTTCGTCGATTTTTTTAAGGTGAGATGTATGGCGAGCACGGAAGCATCGTGTTTGCTGCCGAAGAGCACGGAAGCATCGTATATAGTTACTACTCGGTGCGAACCCTCTTTCCGCAACCTCGTAGCGTTAACCGATAAACTGAGAAGAAACGAGTAGGCGGCGAATAGTAACGCGGCGAGGAAATTCTGCGAATGCTTGCTGCGAAATTGCGAGTGATTGAGAGTTCGAGATTACATGGGAGAATCGCATGTTTCGCTGGTGTCAGCGCGATTTTAGGTCAAGAAAACAAGGTAATTTATTACTTATTTCTGTTGACGATTTTGAAGGAAGCAAGCGGGAGAGATAATAGGCCGTTTGAACAAAAAAAGATGCAAGTTTTGCACGGCTTTAACGTTATGTTCTGATCCTATTGTACCTCTCCTCTTCCTCTCTTCCATCGCCCCACCAGGCAGAAACAAGCAACAGCGTGTGGTTACCAGCATGGAGAGGAAGCAGCAGGTGCTGGGGTTCGGCCAGAGGAAGCCAGTGGGGGAGCGGCAGGGCAAGCATGGCAGTACGACCGGCAAGCAGACAGATTGGAAGGCCGCGGAGGAGCCGGGAAATGAGGTGCAGAACGGTAAGTTGTGGCACAGGGGGGTGCAGAACGATGAGTCGTGTAGCGCATCCAGGATATCTTTTTTGTGTCACATCCTCCTCCTGTCCCGTTGTCTGTTCTTCCCTCACTCCAAGTTCCTTCCCATCCATTTCTGTCAAACTTGCGTCTCAGGAGCGCGTCCACGTATACGTGGCATCTCGGAAATCCACTATCCCTCTCTCATTTCTTTCCCACCCTCATTTCTTCCCCACCCGCCTTTGCCGCCGTAGCACCGCATACGCAGGCTGAGCGGGCGTTGCAGTTCTTTGACATTCACACGACTTGCACCCCCTTCCGTGTCGCTTCCCATGCTCTTCCCTGTCTCGCCAACTCCAATTTTCTCCAGACGCCATCGTCGCACCACCGCAGGAGCAGGCAGAGCACACTGAGCGCGCCCTGCAGCTGTTTGACATGGACATGGCGTTCGGCCCCTGCACTGGCCTCTCCCGCCTGGAGCGCTGGCAGCGCGCCAACCGGTTGGGGCTCAACCCTCCGCCGCACGTGCGAGCGCTGCTGGAATCTGCCTCGTGCCGTGAAGACAGCGTTTGGGAGGGCAGGGTGTGAGAGGGGGGGGATGGAGCATAGCTGCATGGGTGCAGGGCGTTAGGTGGTTGCGGAGGGCTCTCCCGTATGGAGGGCTGTGACTGGTCGAGCCGGTTGGGGCTCAACCCTCCGCCCCACGTGCGGGCGCTGCTGGAGTCGGCCTCGTGCCGTGAAGACAGCGTTTGGGTTGGGCAGGGTGTGAGAGGGGGGCGTGGGCATGGGGGCATGGCATCAAGGCATCTGGTTGCTGTGAAGGGGTCTCTCCCACTGGGATAGGGTGGGTGGGAGAGAAATGGCATGGATAGGTTTAAAGCCCATCCCTCACGATTGTGCATTGTTGCACCTGGTGCTGTTCCGTGAAGTGAGCGCGTGGGAGGGTGGATGTGAGTGTGGGGGATGATCGTGTGTGAGGGGAGGGGGATGAACGTGTGTGAGTGAGGGGAGGGGGGTGAACGTGTGTGAGTGAGGGGAGGGGGATGAACGTGTGTGAGTGAGGGGAGGGCGATGAACGTGTGTGAGTGGTGGGGGATGAGTGTGTGGGTGGTGGGGGATGGATGACTGCGGGAGTGTGGGGATGAGTGTGGGTGTGAGCGCTGTGTAATGTATGATGATTGTCATAGGAGTTGTGGGATGAATGAATGTGTGTGAGCTGATGCCATTACATATTGGATTGTTTCGCGTGATGACCCTATGGTTTGTTTTTGAACCAGTAGCGTCCTGGGAGATGCATGGATGTGCGTGCGCAATGAATCGTCGGAATGTGGACAGGACAGGGCCCAAAATATGGACAGTAAGAAATGATAATTTTTGAAAGTGTAATGAAATGTAACACTTTCTAAAATTTTGTATTGTGAAAAGGGGTACGTGGCCAACACAGCAAAGGTAGCGCCGAAGCGCTACTCACCCTCTTTTGCCTACAAAAGAGGGACGTGGGGACATTCGTCCCCACCCACGTTTTCATTTTCAAAATTGTAGTTCTACGGTAATTTCGTTCTCGTCCACACTGGCGAAGACTCAGTCGCTTCCGCGTTTCACTGCCCCGTCAACGCTCCTTAACGACATCCTTAAGCGCAACCTCGCAACGATGGCTCCGGTCAACCCGGCACTTAACCGCGAGAATTCGAATAATTCTAGCCCCGGTAACGCGGCGGAAACCTCGACTCCGGCCGTGACAACGGATCGTCGCGGCGGAAAACGTCCCGCCGAGGAAATTTCAAGCGAGGGACCCTCGGCGGTCGACCTCCTGTTCGGAGGCACCCTTCGGACCCCCCCTGAGGAACGCGCGACTGTTGTACAGTCTCGCGTGGCTGCTGCTGAAGAGCGCGTGCCTGACAGGCACGCGCGTGCTGCGCAGAAGACGACGACCGCCGCTGACGCGGGTCCATCCGGGCCCACGACCCAGAAACGCCAGCGCGCGGCACCCTCCGCTGACGTCACCCCGGTCAACGCCGCCCCCACCCCTTTGACCGCGCAGCAACTACAGACGCTGCTCTCGTTATTGCAGCAGCATGCATCGTCGACTGCAGCTACATCAGCTGAAGAAGTTTCTGCGTCAGCTAAAATCGAAAAGCAGAAGGAACCTGTCGCGGCTCCCCGCTCCACCAAAATCGCTCGCACCAACAACGCTGCTCCTGCTCCCACCCCAGCTCCGGCACCAACCCAAGCCCGTATCCCCGACGACAGCGACGACTCAGAAAATGAAGACGGTGAGGCCCCCGACAACCTTGCCCGTCGTCGCATTCTCGCACCCGCACCTCCCCTTCCCCCCCTCAACCCTTCACCCGCAGCTACTACCGTCTCCCCCCGGATATAAGCGCCACCCTAGGATAAGCGCCTGGCGCTTCTAATTGGCATATGGCGCTTATATCCCCTCCTCGATTATAAGCGCACCCCTTGAAAAAACTTGTTTTATTATAAGCGCACGTAAACTTTAAAATTTGAAATGTGTTCAAAAAGCTGTAACGATTTTTACTTTAGCAGGCGGATATGTTGCAGATTCGGTTCCCTTCACATTCGGACCCTGCACTGGATGCGGGTCCAGTCAGCAGGACCTGTCAGGAGCTGGATGTGAGTCAGATTGGGTGTATCTCCCAGCGCGCGCGAGAATTTCACTGACGATCCCATGTAACTTCGACTCGATTGAAAAGGCAAGCACGAGACCTACAGTTTGGTGTTAAAAGATATAAAAAAATATGTATGTCATTTTATAAACGCCGGCGCTTATAAATTTACTCGATTATAAGCCCACCCCCATGAAAAAACCTGTTTTATTATTGCCCCCCATGGGGGTATATCCGGGGGGAGACGGTACCTTCATGCGCAAGGGAGTGCGTGACCAGGCGGAGGTGTTCTCTGCAATTCAAGCTCACCTGAGGCACGTCGAGTTCAAGCTCCAAAACGGCGACGTCGAGGTCGCGCTCTCCAACGTGGAGCAAATCGACACGTTGATCAACAAACGCTTCGAGGTGCTCTTGGTGGCGGATGAGGCCGGTTTCGAAGCGGCGGATCGGTTCCAGCTGTACCAAGCCAAGAGCGTGCTCACATCCCGCTCTTACAAGCTCGCGGTAGCCGACGTGGCGGCCCTCAAGCGTGCACGTACCGGCTTCGCCCGCGGAGGCCGCCTTCGACCGAGAGAAGAACAAAGGAGAGAGAGAGAGAGAGAGAGAGAGAGAGAGAGAGAGAGAGAGAGAGAGAGAGAGAGAGAGAGAGAGAGAGAGGGA